TTTACCTTAACAATAATAAGAAGAAGAAACTAATCATATCATTAAAACTCCAAAAGAGCTGAATTAGAAGGAATACCCATAAGTACGCGGTAAATCAAAACGCCTCGTCTCAAAGACCGCATGAACCGAGTTGGCCCATGGCTACTCCGCAAAAGCAAGAAGGTGCCAAAGCCTCTAAGAAGCTCCGCTTTAACATGTGTTCAGGCATGGATGTTGAAGGCATGGAGCCATATTCTGCCCAGCCCCTCATAGCTCCAACTTCACCTGACAGCTCCCTGCATGTTTGGGCCACGTCTCTTCCAATTTTCCGGCCTGCCAACTTCACAGACCTTGGCTCGCCCCTTCCCTAGCCCCGCGCTCCTGGCACCAGGCTGCAGATTGACCCTGGAAGGACGGGTATTTCATGGTGAGCATGCAGAACTTATCCTCGGCAGGGTCAAAAAATCACGCAGGTTCCCAAGAACCAACCTCGTCTTGGGACATTCAGTGACCTCCCCATGTCCTTCCTAAATGAACCAGTAAATTTAACAGAACCTCACACTGGATCCACGAAGGGTGCGCGCATTTCGGGTTTTGACAGACATCCAAGGTGCACCTCTTCCGTTTAGAGTTCACCTCAAGCACAAAACATCCATCCGTGGACTTCTAGCCTGAGACCTGATCCTGATCCACGCATGACAATCGAAACCTGAGACCAGTGCCATCCATGTTCAACCCTGTCACTTTGAGAAAACAACATGGTGACATGGTGGTTGTCATTTTTGGAGTTGGTAGCACTTGTGTGGTGGGTTTAAAGGGACATCGAAAGGAACACCACCATTTTTGTGTTGGGGGGATTCCTTAAAAAGACACACCCACATGTTTGAGGGTCCGTCATTTTGAGGGGTCCATCAAAAGCATCTGATCAAGCGTCGGATCGCTCGAAGCCAAGAGCCGGCACGTCCACATACCTGGCGGCGAAAATGTCCGACGGCTCGCTCAGGTTGGCTTGGGGTCTTCCATGTGAGGGGAGAGGATGGGTTGTTTCCGTGGATGAACCAAATGCTTTTTGTTTTTTAATAAACGGGAATCATAGATGGTAAAATTGGAAAGTATGCCCCCGGGTCATGGCTTGCTTAGGTGTAACTCTACGCCCGGAAACTTGCTGAGTGGTTAGAACGTTCAAGCATGGAGGTGCATACAAGAACGGTAGATGGAAATTATGCAGACCATCGCCGTTCCCCAACAAAATCGGGGGAGAGCTGCTGTGGATGGACGAAATCCTGCACCAGTTGGGATGGATGAATCCTGTAAATAGTGGGATAAACCACCAATCCCAACTGGTGCGAAATGGATTTCATCCGTCCACAGTGGCTTTGAGCCTCATGGATCTGACCTTCAGGGGTCGCCTTCTTCGGCCTTCTGCACTTCCTTCCGCGCGTTTTTGTGAGGCTTTCAATTTGTCCAGCGCCAGTTAGTCAGCAGAGGGTTCGGAGCATGCAGAACGGACAAGCAAGTCCCGCAAAACTACATGGTCTGCTAGTTAGATGGTAGGTAAACCTCAGCGACCCCATGAAATTAACCAGCTGAGTGGTGGCTTTTATTCCCATTAAATTTGCATTGACGTATCAAACCCTTCCGCGAAACCTTCCGCGAAGCTTCCTCGGTGTGAAGGGTACCTTCCGCGAGCATTTGTCTATATAAGTTTGTGCAAGTGCTTCCGCGGGCCTTCCACAGGCAAGTTGCTTCTGGAAACTGAGGAAGGTAGCTGCCGCGAGGGAATCTGCGTGCACGGCTTGCAAGTCAACGTGCTTGGCAGCAACCACCCAACCGAAATCAAACTACTATGTGCAAAACAACAAGGTCCCTTCCTCGAGCTTCCGCGGGAAAAGAACCTTCCGCAAACCTTCCGCGAACCTTCCGCGACTGCAGTGCGGCGCTACCTTTTTTGTTTTATCTGTCAACATCTATACATAAAATAAACCGACGCTCAGCTGAACAAACCGCTTAGCAGTTCCTCGGATCAGAACTTCCGAGAAGCCATGGTCTGCGCATGCTTGTAGAGCATCTGGAATTCCAAAGCAGACATTTCCGTGATTCCGAAAAACAACCGTGTTTCAAAGGGGATTCCCTTCATATCACAAAAAAGTGCCCCGCACCCTCCCTCCGACCCCAGCCCCGCCAGAAACAAAGAAGAAGAACAAAGCGCGCACGCACACACAGACACACACACAGACACAGACACAGACACAGACACAGACACGGACACACGGACACACGGACACACGGACACACAGACACACAGACACACAGAGACACAGACACACAGACACACAAAGACACAGAGACACAGAGACACAGAGACACAGAGACACAGAGACACAGAGACACAGAGACACAGAGACACAGAGACACAGAGACACAGAGACACAGACACAGACACACAGACACAGACACAGACACACAGACACAGACACAGACACAGACACAGACACAGACACAGACACAGACACAGACACAGACACAGACACAGACACAGACAGACACAGACACAGACACAGACACAGACACAGACACAGACACAGACACAGACAGACACAGACACAGACACAGACACACACGGACACACGGACACACACACACACACACAGACACAGACACACACACACACACACACACACACACAGACACAGACACAGAGACACAGAGACACAGAGACACAGAGACACAGAGACACAGAGACACAGAGACACAGAGACACAGAGACACAGAGACACAGAGACACAGAGACACAGAGACACAGAGACACAGAGACACAGAGACACAGAGACACAGAGACACAGAGACACAGACACAGAGACACAGAGACACAGAGACAGAGACACAGAGACACAGAGACACAGAGACACAGAGACACAGAGACACAGAGACACAGAGACACAGAGACACAGAGACACAGAGACACGCACACAACTCTGCTGTTGTGCATTGGTCTGACTGCTAGTCCACAATATACGCTTGTGTGTCCTCTACGTTTCATATTTGTTGTTGACCCTGAATGTGGTAGGCTGTTGTCGGTGTCTACTCTGAATACAACCACAGACCACCTGCACATCTGATAATTCTCGTTCAACTCACGTCGGGGCCCCGGCGGCGCGATGGTAAATTCCCAGTTCGCGCTCGCGGCGAAGCGGCGGGTTGACAACAGCACCTTGCGTGAGGCAAGGCAAAGATGGGATGCTGCTCGTTGGTCTTGTGGTTTGGGGGATTGATGGATTGCGGGCTCTTTCTTTGGGGAAGCGGGTAGAACGCTGGTTTGGTGCCATCCGGTCCTTGTGAGAACCTTAGGCGGGGCTGTTGCTTGTGGCATGGCTTCCTTCCTTCCTTCCTTCCTTCCTTCCTTCCTTCCTTCCTTCCTTCCTTCCTTCCTTCCTTCCTTCCTTCCTTCCTTCCTTCCTTCCTTCCTTCCTTCCTTCCTTCCTTCCCTGCCGCTGGCTGGCTGGCTTCCTTCCTTCCTTTCTTCCTTCCTTCCTTCCTTTCTTCCTTCCTTCTTTCCTTCCTTCCTTCCATCCTTCCTTCCTTCCCTGCCTGCTGGCTGGCTGGCTGGCTTCCTTCCTTCCTTCCTTCTTTCCTTCCTTCCCTGCTTGATTGCTTGCTTGCTTTCTTTCTTGCTTGCCTGCCTGCCTGCCTGCCTGCCTGCACTGCCTGCTCGCTTGTTTGCTTGCTTGCCTGATCGATGCCTGCCTGATCAGAGACAGCCAGAGAAAGAGTCACAGGCAGAGACAGACAAACAGTGAGACAAACACAAAAACAAACAAACAAACAAACAAACAAACAAGACGCGGATACATAGAAACATAAACAAGCAAATACGGCAAGCAAACAAGCAAAGCAAGCGAGCAAGCTAGCAAGCAAGCAAACAAACAAGCAACAATATGAAAGCAACACAGAAGCAAGCAATGCCGAGTCGATTGGACGCCTCATAACATCTTTCTTCAATCAACCACCGCCCAGCACTTACTCACTGCTCGTCACTTCCCCGCTCGCTCGCTTGCAGCGAGGCTCTGCTCTGCGATGCAATCCGTGCATCGCCGCCATGGCGACGACTGCTCAGCTCTGGGGTCCTTGTGATGTCTCTGCGAGTCTCGACGTTCGGAATGGCTCTACTTGAGGCTTCAGCCTTCCGATTGCCGCAACTTGAGCTCTTGAGGATGTAGGCGTGGTGCTCCCCTTAAAAAGCCCTAAGGCTTCTGCTTGACCCGTTTCCTCCCAGGAGCCATGAAAAGGGGGGCTGGAGCTTGACATCCATGCGACCTGGAGCCCAAGGCTTGCAGAGTCGAAGGACACCTTTTGTTGTGGGACATGGCAAATGGGCCCAGGGAAAACAAAACAAACATGAACCATCAACTCCAACGCCTAAAAAGGAAACCGGGGACTCCACATGTGTTCCTAACACCACCCAAGGCAGCAAAAGAAGTTCACTCAACAAAACCATCGGACAGGCGTTGGGAGTTGGCGTGGGGGGGTGGGGGTGGGCCTTGAAGTCACTCCCTCTTGAGAAATTGGGCGTTGGTACCTCGCCTGTTGCAAATGTCGGAAAGCTGAGAAGGAAGCCTGACCAGACTTTGACACGGGTTTCGACTTCTCATGGCTCTAAGCCTAGGAGTAAGTTGCAATAGTTCAGACACTTGACATCCCGTGTGGAATCTTGATGTGCGAGGTCGTACCCCTGTTCTTTGCCCTAGAGCCCAAATTTGGGCCGTCTGGGCGCGGAATTGAGTCTTGTTGGCGAATGAACATAGCAACAACCAAAAGTGCAAGAAGTGTTGAAACAGACAGGACCCTTTTGACTTCTTCCTTAGGCATGGGCATAGGGGGACGTCTTGTCTATTGCCAAGTAGGCAGATTGGTCCCCCGCTGCACTGGGTTCCATGCTGAGTAGAGTCCTAGAGATCAGTCGCACTGCCTGACTCGCCCTCTGCCCGATTAAACAAAAAAAAAGGTCAAACCGCCAGCCCCGCAGCACCACCGGGATGTCCCCCAGGGCGCGGCTGTCATCGACCGCACCTGCGACGCCACAACTCCGGCATCTCAAGCAGTCGCTTTGCTTAAGATACACTTAGCCGCTGGCAGAAAACCACTTGTAGGAATGGCCCCTCAATCAACCATGGACTTGTGAATCCGGGATCAATGGAGGAAGTCTCCGGAACCTATGCGCAGTTACTTTTTGATGAAATCCAATGTCCCTCCGGGAAATGGCCAGACTTTGACATCACAATGTTGACAGGGTATTCTATGCCCGCTATGAGTAGCGGGGGCCCTCAAAGGGTCAGCCCTGTGTAGTTCCAAGTTCCCAGAATTTTCGGATGGGGCTCTTTGCTCTCTACCATGGCTATAACGTGAGCAGACCAAGTACTCCGAACTCCTGTGCCAAGCTTCTCTTCAGGAGCAACTCAGCTGACCCCACAAAACGTGGGAACCGGGACCTTCCAGGCCTTTTGTGGATTTGCGTGGCCCCAAGTGGAGCACATGAGTCCAAAGCGAAAAGGCCACTGTTCCGAAAGTTCACTCAAGCAAATCCAAGCCCATTGCAGGCCTCACTGGTCCTTTGGGGCCCAGAGAGCTTGGCCGTTTGCCGCTGGAAGGCCCAAAACGCGAACTAGGAACTCCGGACAGCGACATATCCAGCTGCGCAAAGGACCGGGTCATGTGGCCCATTTGTTGACAAAAGCACACACCACCCACAAAGATACAGTGGATGGACAAACTCCAACAAACCCGTCTGTAGGAGGTTTTATCCCAATACTTGCAGGGTGTCCATCCTACGTGCAGGATACAGGTGTGTGGTTTTTCTTCAGGGTACCCTTTTCAAGGTTGGTTCAGGGGTAAAGAAAACCGCCCATTTTGGGTCCCGTTATTTTCTGAGAATCCCCCGCCTTCGGTCTTCGGCCGGTAGGGGTGGGCGCTAAAGGTGGCCACTGTGAGGCTCAAGGTCTCCCGGCTCACCTGACGCGAATCGAGTCGAGGGCAAGCACGAGTCGGGCTTGTACGCAGTCGGAATATGGAGTTGCAAAGTTACCTCGGCGTAGGTCTGCCTGAGATGTGCGTGAACATGCCTATGTTACTAGGTTTCCTCCGCAAGCAACTCGCATGAACTGTACGGAGCTGTGCGTAAAACAGTGCGTACAACAATGCGTGCCTCGCAACTACCCCGAACGAACCCATACTTACCAAAAATGGAACTGCTTTCATACTAACCATGAGGAACAACACCTATTGTATCACGTTGTGGGTGTAGATTGGCAACTGCTGTGAGAAGTGGTTCACCATGGCGGAAACACCGGGACAGCTTTCATTCTGTATGTGCGAGTACATGTCTATGTCTTTACAGTATGTTGGTGTTCATGTATGCATGTGTGTGTGTTTGTCGGTATAGGAAACCTGTCTTCAGGCACACTAGGAACGGGCTGCTGGTCAGGCCCAATACTAAATCCTGTAGACCCCAAAGTGAAACAAGTACACATATCGTGACTAGTCCAGCCAGACACAACATATCTGCCTGGGGCCTTTCCAAGCATGTGTTTGTTTGGTGATGGTTGTCGTCTTCTCATATTTTGGTGTCCTCTTGGTGTTTTGTTTCTTCTTCTTCTTCTTCTTCTTCTTCTTCTTCTTCTTCTTCTTCTTCCTCTTCTTTTTCTTCACGTTTGGTGCCGGTGTTGTTCTTGGCATGTTTTTCGTGTCAAGTTGGATTGTGCTTCCCCTTTTCCGACCGACTTCACTTCCCTGCCTCGGTGACGTGCAGTAGCCTCAAGGCGCTTGGGCTCCTTCTCACGGTCCAACTTGTAAGCTTTGAAGTTTGAAGTGAAACCAGACTGGCTGGTACTCAGTAGGAAACCATAAAGGATGGTTTTTCTCGGGGTCATTCCAACTCATTCCCTGTCGAGAACCAGCAAGCAAGGGGAAGCCTCCCGATTTTGTTGGTTCGAAGGTTTCGCGAAACTCCAGGCTTTGGACTTGGGAACCGCGTTCTCGAAAGTGCTCTGCAAATTAGCAAGAGCCCAAAAAGGCATCAATGCTAGAGATGTCTCAGACATCTCTCTTTGGGGGACCCCTCTTTTTTGGGTTTCCACGCCAAGTCTTTTCAACCAGACAAACAACCAGGTGCCTCACCGTGAAAACTCTAAGGCTGGGGGTGAAGGTGGGAAGGGAACCCTGCAAAAACGACCGCAGAATGGATGACAGGCCCATATGGCTGCGTCTTTTTGGGTGGGCTTGAGGGATTCCAAACGGAAGCTTACCGGGGGACACCCATACCTTGATGTGTGGCCACAAACATGGCCTTCTTCATGCTGCTCATCACTCCTTTTGCGAGTGCTTTCAGGTTGTCGGGAGGAATTTTCAAAGCTCCCATTGCTTCCCCTCCCCATTTCCCCATGCGTTTGATGAGAACGCACTTGACTGCGGCCCCCAAAAGGTGACAGGGATGCTGGACGCTTGACACTTCCCAAGTTTGCATCAGTACATTGCAAGCATGGCAAACGTGCCCTGGGGCGGGGTCATGCTTTGGGGAGGGGCCATAACCTCAAACAAATACGCTGACTGGAACGTGATGCAATGCCATTCAGATTCTCAGTGACCGGCATGGCCCTCTGGATTCCTCGTACGCTTGATCCAAACAAACTGTCACACTAAAGCGCGCCGCGGCAACAAAGCATTCCCCTGACAGTGTGCGGAAACGAGGGCTGCTTGGGAACCACAAGGTTCTTCCCGATTGTCACAAGACTCAAGCAGGAGCATGAGAGCTAGGCCCCAATACTTCGCACGACATCCCTTGACACAGCTCTGATCTGTAAATTGCTACCCTTCCAACATGGAAGTGCCGGTCCAAAAGGAAGGCGTTACCGCAGAGGAATTCAACGGACCCAGCCGCCCTTCCTGCCTCACATCCACCTGGGCTGTGCAAAACGCCTCTAAGAGGATTTTGGGGGGTGAGTCCTAATTGGGACCCGGTGGACACGATTTGACATGGGGGATTTATTGCCCTTTCCCATCTCGGTTCCCTACTAAGATTTCATAGATAGTTGCCGGAGCTCGTCCAAATGGTTGGTGACTCATGGGTGCCCAAATCAGTCGGCGATGTCTGGATTTGACTTGCTAATGAGCTGCTAATGCACACAGACAGGCAAGCGACTGTGCTTCAAATGCACGCCTGGCCAAACGTCAAGGGCGGAGACAGCGTGTCCAGGTGGATCTTGACAAGGAGAATCAGCGTGTGGTATCGCGTTCATGTCTTCCTCTCTCACTGCTGAGAACATACTCAGCATACACAGCGGGGTCCAGAAACTGCTCGCATTCAAGGACCTCTGCGGCGATCTGTTCTGCCAAGCAGACGCCATCGCTCTGCGAGGCGTGCACAAGGCCAAGGCCAACGGCTGACCTATACGAGCAAACCAAACAACGCTGGCTGCATCTGAGCCTACGAAAGCGAACATAGGGGTGGTGGTTTTGGTCCGGGCTGTGGGGAATGACCACTTCTGTGATACAACAGAAAGGGCTTCCCAAAGACTATTTTGTGCATATAAAGGGGATTCCAAAAAGTATCACAGACGTGGTTGGAGAAACCCCGAGTGATCCCACAACCCTGGTTTTGGTGTTGGTGGTGAACCCTCCAAGGTGCAGCTTGCATCATAGCACAGCGCCTTGGAGTTCATGGCTGCCCAGACTGCCCCGTTGACAAGGCAGGCTAGACGACCGTGTCCCAGAACGTGGCAACCCCACACGGGGTCAGTAGCGGGTTCACCGTACACCTCCAACCCAGGCACACAAAAGAACAAGGCAAAACGTCTGCCAGGACCCTTCGTGGTGCAACCAACATGTTGTCGGCTGGGAGGAAAGGCAAGGCTGAGCAAAGACTTTCCAGCCAGCTGTGAACACATGGCCAAAATGACCACTTTGGGTATTCCACAAAAGGACTGCCTCTTTGAGGGGAAGGGGGCGAAAGATAAACCCGACTCCGGAGTGAGAAAAACATGTGGAAGCCGATCGCTCGAAACTGCCACCAACCAGGGCCCAACTGGAAACAAAGGGTTGACCTTGGGCCACAAATAAAAATAGATCGAAATTGGACAACCAGAAGGTCAGAAGGTCGATTCGCATTGGGCACTTGAGCAACATCAGTCTGCCCTTGGGCAGCCCTCGCATCGTGAAATTCTGTGAGTCAAACATCGAAACCGCGCCAGAAAGCCAACGAATTCCATATTTCGGCTGGAAACTGAGGGGGGGGGGGGGGGAAGGGGGACGGAAGGCCGACAGGAGGCCATCACTCCAAACTTCATCCCCCCAAACCCTAAAACCCCCAAATCCCCAAGCCCTCCTCAGACACTGCGCCAGACCCTCTAAGTAAAGCTACGCCAAACCGAAGCAAGCGTCAACACAAACACAAACTCATAAGCTAACTGCCAAAGGAGGTTGGTCACAGGGCTTCCCATACTCCCCTCTTCACTCATGTAAACAAGCCGCAAAACAAAGCAAACCAGGAATCCACCCAGTAGGAGGACACCCGCTGCAGGGATTGCTCACAAAACGCCCCTTGCCGGGGAAACAATCAACAAATCACGCAACTTGCCCCGATTTCCCCTCTCAATGGGAGCCCTGGAGTCATCAACTGGCTGCTCTTACTTTCGAAACGTCCCGTTTTAGAAGGGAACGCTTCTTTTTTGCAGTGGACCACCTTCGTTTTTCTCCATGATGAATCCCCTGTCGACTTCTTGCCGCAAAAAAACGGGAAGCCGCATGAACGGAGTGGCACTGGATTTCCCATCAACTGACTGGTGGCTTCCATTGAAACGATCGCCACTTGAGGATCCGCAAAGGGGACCAGCCAGGAGACCCTGTTCCAAACTTCACCCCGTTCCTTCGCCTCAAAAAAGAAGAAGAAAAGACGAGCGCCGCCCACATCGGAAATTGCGCGCCAAGGCGCCACGGCGTGGGGCGCCGCTTGCTCGGAGCCCGCGGGCTTCCCCGGCGGCCTAAGGGGTCGGAGATAGATTCCCTTTTGGGCTGTAAAGGGCAAAAGGAACACTACCTACCCATAAAATGGCGGCGGGGACGGGGGGTGCCTAAAGAAAAGACGAGCCGCCCATACATGATATCGAGGCTATATAATAACTGCATAAAGGATGTATGTATGTATATATATATATGTATTTATTTGTATATATACTGCTACAAGCCAAAGATGGTAAAGCCTCCACACCTCCAAGCCCCTCGCCTGGAAGTTGTTTGCTGAATATGGCAATATGGCTTCGTGGCGTTTCATTTTTTTGCGCTCGGAACCGCAACAACTAGACGGGCCTGAGCTGGTGTTGGAAAATGCTTGGTTTGCTGTTGCGGCTGATTTTGGAGGCACCGTGTTTTGGTGCCATGGTCAAAGTCGACCTTTCCGGACATGTCCAGGATGTTGGGAAGCCCAGAACCTCCATAGGCCGATCTTAGGGAGATAAAATCACTGAGCAAAGATCCTTGCCCTTTCTGCAACCTGTGGCGCTCACCGTAACCTCCAACAAAAAGCGTGGGTGGAGAATGTACCAATGGACTCCCGGGTACTTTCTGCTACGATTAGCCGAATGTTATAGCCCGGTGGGACCCGCATCGCTTCTTCTGGCTTGCGAGGTCCGACTTGAGCGCAGAACTTAAGCATGGTCAAAAAGCCGCGCATTCGACACTCCCGGGCAAGTAAAACACGCTGGTCTCATGGCGAAAAAATATCTTATCACCAGATGGTCCGGCTACAACCCTGAGAAAGGGCCTCCTCACATTCAGCCAAGCCAAACCTGTCAGCTGGCAGCTCAGCACCAAAGCTGAGCCAAGCAAACTTCAGGTGCAAGCCTCCACACCCTCAACCAACCTAGCCATTGGGCGGGGATATGGCTCATGATCTCTTCTTGCTCTTTCTCTTTGCGGTTCAACCCGGATCCAAGCACTTGAAGATCCCACTACTTGAAAAACAAGTCGCAAACCCCTCGCGCCTGACGTCATCCTCCTTTGCTTCCATTTGTTTTTGCGCCCCGTGGGAATCGTAGTGAAATCGTTTCCCTTTAGACAAAACCAACAAGGGGGAAAAACAATATTCATTTCAGCACATGGAAGTTTGTCCAAATCCCTGAGATGCCCGACATGCTCGAGAAGAGCAGGCAAATGCTGCAGAGGCTCGCCCAAACCTCGCTCGTGTGTCCGCGGCTTTGTGGCCCGGTGTCGGTGGCAAAATCTACGGGCCAACTTGCAAACCCCGAATGGGCATATCCCAAAAGTAGTACGTCATACATGGGTTATACAGGCTGCATGCCCCAAAAACCACCCCTGTACAACTGCATAAGGCCCATAGGTGGGGTGTCCATTTGGGGTATGTGAGTTGGCCCTTAGACACAACACGAATTCCTGAGGTGTATTTGTTCGTGTGGAGGGTAGCCTTCGGGTTGAAGACAAGCCCATGCCCAGCTAGGCTGGGCAGCCCTGAGAGTGATCGTTGTGAAGAACCGGCTGCAGGATGTTTGGTCAATCTGGTGTCCAAGTGTCATGGGGGCTGGGGGGGGGGAGGGAGGAGAGGGGGAGGGAGCCCAAATAAGCCCTTATTAAGCTCTTAATAAGGCCTTATTATTTAGGATATATTTAGGCTCTCCTCCCTCCCCCAACCCGCAAGAAAGTTTGGTCATGACGTCCATTTCAAGGCTACATTGGCTACATCTTTGTCATAGCGAAATTAAGCATTGCTTTTTGGGTGCCAAGGGAATGCATTCCGGCATCAAGAAAAAACCTCCTTTGAAACCCATGGAAACGGAGCTGGTTGGAAAGAATGGACAAGGAATCAAACCCTAGATTCGTAGAGAATGCTTGCGCTGGTAAGTGGTTTCCATGGACCAAGACCTGCGGTTTGCCCAACTCCGATCGTTTCATATTTTGAGCCACGGCCATGAAATGGGGGGGGCTTCCATGGGTGGTGTCCTTTGGGTTTCTCCCACCACCCCAAACAGACGGACCCACATGGGGAAGCCCCTACAGACCCTTGGGCTCCCGGGCCCAGCCGTGCTCCGGCGGGCCCGGGGGGTCCGAGCCCGCGGTGACCTCCGAGGAAAAAGGCCAGAAATACTCCTAGGTCCGCCACAGGGATAACAAGAAAAACACCTGAACATTGCCTTCTAAATGGTGCTGTCCCCTTATTTTGGATGAAAAAGCCATGTTTCAAATGGTTGCAAAATGCATGTTTTGAGGAGCCCTGCTCCAGTAGAGAGCTTAGAATAAGGGTACCCTATTTTTTCTCTGTGGTCTATTTTAGTAGGAGAACCCTCCCCCCAAAAAGGGGAAAATACACGGTAAAAGGGGGCACTAATGGGGGACTTAGACTCACCTGGGGTTGGCCCAAAGTCCACTAAGGTGTTGTTTTGAGCTGCTAAAGATTCAAAAAAGCCCAATCCCACGAAAATGGTGAAAATGGTTTTCCCAAAAAGAGATGAGTCCACCTCAGGAAGTGAGTCTATGCGTACACCTCAAACACTACCAAGGAAAATCATGTTGAGTTGGCCCGAAGTGTGAGAAATACTGACACGGGAAGGTGTTCAGGGTAATTAAACTAGCGAAGGGTGGGGGCTTGCAAGTTCTTCAGAAGGGGATATGGGAATTGCCCTGTGCTTCGTATGGAATGGTTGGGAGCCTTGATTCTGAAAATTATTCCCTGCGAGCAGTCGGCTGGGATTCAAACCCACGTAGCGTTGTTCCTAGTGTACCAAATAGGCTCCTTCCGTTTGCAAAAAAAGGATATCCACGAAAGCCAACTGCTGGCGTTCTTGTACCTTGCCCGCTGCCTTCCTATTGAAAATAGGGCCCAAATAGTTTGAATGGGGTCTTGGGGAGTTTGGGAGGCTTGTTGTGTTTTTTAGGATTTCGACCCCCAAAATGTGTGTGCTTCTTTTTGCTTTCCCTTTCAAACCACGAAAAGGTGCCCGGTACCCACTCCAAAAAAACCACCTTAAGTCATAAGCACGAGAGCATAATCCCAACGGCTCCCACGCAAAAAAAACTGATGCCCCCTAAGGGTGCATGGCTGCGGACAAGACAAAGACCCTACCTCCGGCTGACTCCCCACCAAAACACCGCGTGCCGTCCAGGAACCTCCATCCTTTTTGGGGAAGCCCCTGCTTTCGGCCTTTGGGAATGGAAGACAAACAAATCTGAAAGCATGATCTTTGGAGATTCCTGAATAAAGGGAAGCTGATGGCACCAGCAGCAAAACAGCATGGAACCCCAGCCGCCGAGCACAGCTCAAGGAGCCCAACTGTTTTGTGGTGGATTCCCTCCACTCTTCCTGGCGTTTCCCTTGGGTTTCCCCCGCCAAAGACAATCTCAAGGCACTTGCGTCAAAGTCGCCGATCATGGCCGGGCAAGAAACCCCCCTCCTTTCGTCCAAGCCCAAAGGACAATGAAGCTAGAATCTTTGATCCTGCCAAAACGGGAAGTGTAAGGATCTCTTGTCTTCCCCTTGTTTTCCTTTCAATTTCCCACCAACAATCGCAGAAGTGGAAAGAGAGGCTCTCCAATATGAAGCTAGTGTCTTCCCACACCTCCCTGTCAGCTTCCACTGTTAAGGGTAACCCCAAACTCCGGTCTTATTTTGTGGCGTATCTGTTTTGATCTTGCCTTTTTGGGATTGTTTTCAGCCCTCCCAAAACACCCAAAGAACCCCCGCCCCCCAGTTTCAGACTTTCAGGACATCATATGGAGTTTCTCAAAATAGACCTGTAGAAGCTGCAGTCCGATTTGCTTCTCTTTTTTGAGCCAACCCAACAAGTTAGCTTGTCGATGTTCAGTGCCACATGAGTCAGAATAAACACCCGGTATTAACAATGGTCTGCCCAAATCCACGTACAAAAATTACAAAGCCGGCCGCACCTATCTGCAAATTTTGCTTAAACCACAAAAAAAAAAACACGAAAAGCTAAATTAAGGAATCCCCCAAGTAAAGGACCTTTGTCACGGTTGGTGAGCTCGCAAAAAAAAGAAGACCAATTTCTGGCCCATGTTGGTTGGCACTTGCATGGGAATCATCATTCATTCGGGTTTCTGAACAGTGGTGCGATTTCTGGATTTCGCAACCATCCCACAGTATGTTAAAATACCCCATAACCCCCACAGGAACCCCTACAGGCACCCCTACAGGAACCCCCAAAAACATGGACTCCCTGGGTGCGAAATGGTATTTCTGGCTGGCTCTGGCGCTTGCTCTAAAATCAAGCCCAAAACCAAAGGGAGGCGCTTTTTTGCCCAAGAACCTTTTGTTAAAGAGTGGTTCAATCCCTTCATCTCCCCTGTGGTTTTGGCCAAAACAAGGTCCTTTCTGATCCCCGCGGATCCGATGGCCTTCATGAGGGCGTTGAAGCCCTCCTGCACCTCCGCCTGCCGGGGTTTGACATATGCCCCACCGAACAAAAGGCACGGGGCCCAAGGCGGCCCCCTGCCAAAAAAAGAAAAGAACCGAAGAAAACACCTGTAGCCAGGGAAACTCACCGAAGACTGCACAAGGTCATGCTAGAAACTTGAAACTTCACACCCGAACTGGGAAACATTGGGACCCCTGGCGGTTCTCGCAGGAGAGTTCTCTTTGTTTTGGGGTGCTTGTATGGTTGGTTTAAAGAGAAATCGAAGGGAAATCACTCTTGCTTTTGTGGGACAGAGACATCCAGAGACAGAGAGACACAGATACAGAGAGACAAAACACAGAGAGACAGACAAGACACAAAGGCACACGAGACACAGAGACAGACAGAGACACAGAGACAGACACAGACAGAGAACGAGACAGGCAGAGACAGAGACTGACGTGGTCTTAAATGTTGGGAAACTTCATGGTGTTTCTTTTGGTTTCATTGTCAATGGGGGCTGTGGCACAATCGCAGTGCGCCCCTGCAGTGGCGGAGGAGGTCGCAGGTTCAAGTGCTGCCAGCCTCATGCTCACTTGCCCAAAAAACCTGGAAGTAAAAGGTTAACCTTTTGTGACCTCTACTAAAAGTAGACCAAAAGGGGAAATCAAAGGTCAAAAGGTCGGCTTTCGACAACTGAGCATGACATCAACCCCCATGCCAAGACCAGCTGAGTCACAACCAAAACCTGGTACTTAAAAGGTCTACCCAAGTTGTAAGGAAATTCAACGGCGGCCGCAACTATTCTGGCTGGGACTGCCCCTTGATTGTGGCTCAGTTGGAGCATTTTGGAGCTAAGGGCAAAGATCTTCCTGCGCCTCCGTGCCCAGCGTCTCACTGCCGGGCCGGATCTGGGAGGAGCCCACGATGGGTCTGGCCGTTTTGCGATGCAAATCCGCCAGGCGCCGTTTGGGGGGCGGACGTTCGTTTTTAGGTTGGAACCCCCAAAATGGCGGGCTCCGGAAATTTGGTGAGGGCAGACAACTGGCAGAAACCATGTATTATGTGTGGGTATGTTGTTGCTTCAGGTTGGACACCCTAGAATGGCGTTGGTTGTGCATTTGGTTTCCTTTGAAACCAGGAAAAGGGGGGCACCAGCTCCAAACAAAGATGAGCCACCCAAAGTAACCTCAACGGGTTTCTCAAATGGTGATTTGATCCCCAAGAGGTGGTGGTCCTTGTGGTTTCCCGCAAAAGCCCAACAAGGGCACCCTGGCATAAGCTATCCCCAACAGCCACGGAACGCCCCGGAACCCTCCCTGAAAGCTACCCACCCGGAACCCTCCTGTGAACCCTCCCTGAAAGCTACCCCACCCAAGTAACCCTCCTTTTGAACCCTCCCTGAAAGCTGCCCCAAACCAACCCTTATCGCCCATCTGGGCAGTGACCGCATACTTTCAGCTGTTGGGAAACCAAGACACCGAATTGAAACCAAATTCGATCACGCCAAATTGAAACTAAACAGCATTGAAACTGAAGCAATTGAAACTGAGCCAAACTGAAGCTGAAGCAGACTAAAAACTAGAGAGATTGGTCCTGGGAAACTATTAGAAACAAATATCGAACCAGTGGAATCTATGCATAACTGACCAAGGACACTAGTCTCCAGATGAAAAACCGGTGCACGTCCGGGCATACAGAAAGAAGCCCTTGATGTTTGATCCGGGGTCCCCCACGAGGGGAGTGTGCACCTTTTTGCTTTTTCGCCTTGACCGTGAGTCCACGTACGATGCCTTTTCCCTAAATTCGTTAGTTGGAAACGAGTTAGCAAATGATCCGGTACCAAAGCAAGGGGATCCTAAAAAAATCTCTGGCATCACTGCCAACATTCCCAAACAGCGCGCTGCTGACTCCCTGTCACTACCCACCTCTGCGACAGGTTCGGACACGGACCCTCAAAAAGACACACCCATACTGTGGATGGACGAAATCCTGCAACACCTGAGAAACCACATCCATTTCGCACCATTCAGAAACCCTGCACCCCCCGCCCGGAAAAAGTTCTGATTTGCTTCCCATGGCTTCATTTCGCGAGAAGCGATTTCATTGTGACTCCTCAACCCACCCGCATCGCGTCAATAGCCAGGGCGGCAGGTGACAATTCAGCTGCACCCAGCCTTCCGCCTGAAGAAAAGGCTAGAAAAGAAGCGGAGGGGGAGGGGCGAAGTGGAGAAATGCCTAACATGTCCTCTTTAACCGTCACACCAAAAGGAACCTCCCGTCTTGGTTGCTGTAGCGACCCCTCTGCAAGCAGTTGTTCACTTTCTGTGGGTCCAATGGAACATCCACAAAGCTAAAGTCCAAGAAAGCCTTTTCCACAAGCCTTTGGAACATCCACAATGGCCTTTAGCTTTCCCAAAAGGTGCCTTGTTTCCACTTTCCAAGCTAAAGGCACCTGTGCTTTCCCAAAAAGCTAAAGTCCAAAGCCCATCTGGCCTCTAAATTTGCCCCAAAAGCCACCAAAACGAGAAATTCAATGGAAAAAAAACGGTCAAAGGTACAGTCAGATCACAAGGAAGGACAAAAGCCCGAAGTTGCTTTAGCGGTTTTACGGTGGAAGCAACGGCTGTGCTGTTCTCAAGCACATGTGAGACATATTGAGAAGCTGTAATTGTTCTTTGGGTCTACCCAAGACCAGCATACGAAACAACCAAAAGGGTGTGTCTTATGTTTGTCTGGTATCAGAGGAATCATCATTCCAGGGTTTAGGTGGTGCGAAATGGATTTCGTCCATTCACAGATGATTCAAACCAAAGTCCCATAAGCTTTACTTTGGGTGTGAACTTGTGTCTCATTCAGGCCACATCTGCGTCGGGACTTCTGCCAACCTTCCACCTACCGGCGTAACGGTATAACGATAGCCCAAAGAAGTTCTCGAGGGCGAATTGATTGGGGTAAAAGTAACTAGGTCCTCCAGTAGAAAGGTTAGAATAAGTTGGTACCCTTTTTTCCTCTTTTTTGTCTATCTTAGTATATAGGGGAACCCTCCCCAAAAAAAGAAACGGGAGAGAAGGGCACTACTGGGGGACCTAGGTAAAGACCCTAAATATGATGCCCTTTGATTCCCAAAGGCCTCAAGTAATGCTGGTTTCATCATCCCCTGACCGAAAAGAGACTCCTGTGACACCCCCACAACAAAATCTAAGGGGCAGAACTAGAATATGGGTGTGGGGTGCTTGAAGACCAACTTCGATGATCATAGGGATCAGCACCGTATATCAATATTACTTTCTTTCATACAGCCTGGTATCATCTGGGCCAGTTCGGCATCTGACACCCCCCTTCTGGGTTGGCACCCACTGCTTACTGTTTCAGCAGATCGATTTGGCGCGATCTGGCGGTCAGTCTCCCAGGGATGCCTATGAAGTGAGTAACCACCAAACTTGGAGTGGGCCAACCCTTTGTTTGCCAATGAACAGGAAGTGCACCTCCCATCCCTTTACATCCCCCTCCCATCCCTTTACATCCCCTCACTTCATTACATCCCCCATCATCCCCCTTATGTCCTGGATATTGTTCCTAAAAAATCAGATGTTCAGCCGCACAAAGCCGTGCAGGAGCTCCGACCTTCCGCGCTTCTTGAGTCTCCTTCGGCTCGCCGGATCCTTTCTCGGAAGTGCACAGGACCCCCCCCTCCCACCCAAGAAAACGGAGCACTGTCGTCCAAGTTGGGGCTGGGGCCGTGCACTGCACCCCCCCCCCCCCCCCCGAAACCAAAAAAGAACAAAAGGAGCAAAGTCTTCCAAGTGGACACTGTCGTGATATTTCTTGGTAGGATGATTTTAAGATGCTCAAGAATGGTGAAGAGCGTCCGGCGGGTGCCTTTGTTTCTGCACCTTGAGTCCTGTTGAAAGGGATCTTCCCAAAGACCAAAGGGGCCTGCCTCAAAATACCAAAAAGCTAGGGGACCCCTGTGATGGCCTTTTAACGGAAACCACAAACCGCCCACCTGGAAGGGTCCCTAATTTTTTGGGGAATCCCCAAAAGGCATGGCTCAAACACATGTACCACAATGGCACTTTCATTTTGAGCACAGAAAAAAGGGGAGAAGCCCGGGGTTCAAAAGCTCCCTGGACATCCCCGCCCAAGCTGCGCGCAGAAAGCGCCTGGGCGATCTGATGGAAGGCCGAGGGGGCCGCCGCGCTGGCGTCCTGGAGCGCGCCAAGTGGCCACCGCGCACAACTTTCGTCTGCGAAGATCGCCCCCCTGTTTTGCTTTTTTTGGAATAGTATATATATATATATATATATGAAGCCACTTTTTTGTTTGTAGCATATATATATATGTATATACATCAACAAATCCTGTGGTTTGCCCCCTGGAGAAATAATAATAATAATCAGTCCAGTAGTGACAAATTGCCTTTCACTGGAAACCACTGGTAACGATAGAAACAAATCGCCCAGTAGCGATAGATTCCAACTTCCAAACCAAGAAGGGAAAATACAAATTAATCTTAGGCAAATGGAAGACAACAAGATCATTGGATCCACATTTCGGGCTGAAGGGGTGAAAATTCACGAAGAAACCATCCATTTCGTAGCTCTATTTCCGGTTGGTCTGGGGGGGGGGGGGCAACATAGCTTTGCTGCGATACTGTTTAGTAGCTGAACATACCAAACCGCTCACCATGGTATGACCAATGGCCTGATCAACCATTCTGACGAGGGCAGAAAATACCGGTTGGTTCATTCCTATTGCCCCTGACTAGCTCGTCACTTTGAAAGTGGATACACAAACAACCATGGGCTCCCAAAAATATCAGTTGGCGACCGAGGCGAGGAGATGTCGGGCCCCCTGTCACAAGGGTAGAAAACTGGCAGACACAAACCAACGAGGTCTCTCTGTTGCTTTCTGCTCCCCTGCTAAAGGTTCGACTTTTAGTGGTTTAATTCGGAAAACCCATGAGTCGGCAAGAAGTTAAAGTCCTCACATCCCTTGGCAACATGCACCAAAGCAAAATGGGCATGGCATGGCATGGCGCTGTCTCTTTTAGGGAACCTCAAAAGAAAAATGGAAGGTTCCCCTAGGACGCTTTTCAAAGATCCCCCTCTTTTAGGAGCTCCCTGGAAACATGCAAGACCAAAATACGTACCTTTCGGTTTTCTGAGGCTCGGTGAAGCCTGTGGCATCTTTTCGCATTGGTCGCGAAACGGCGGTTTTGACAAATGTGAGCGGGCGAAAAGGCGCAGATTGGGAGCTAACCCTCCAACATACCTCTGAACCCATATGAACCCCTATGAACCCCTATCAACCCCTATGAACCCCTATGAACCCATATGAACCCCTTTGAACCCATATGAACCCCAGAGGAACTCCAATAAGGGAACCCTCAGCGCGGCTGCGGCCTCAAGGCTATAGAGATTCCATGCAGGGCAACCTTTCTGGAAAATCACCTGGAGATGGTTTGGTGCACACTTGCCCCTTTTGGACAGTCTTCCAAAGCACTTCCACAGTTGTTTGTGAGAGGGTCCGTGATTTTGAGAACCGTAGAATGGAGGTCAAAACACCTGGTCGGGGTTGGAAAGATCAGGGCAATTAACGTGCTGTAGTCAACGGGTTCCAAGACACAATCATTTGTGTAGCAGCCGAAACGAACCCATTGTGAGACGTAGAACCGGATTGGGTCTGTTTCCAAAATGGGAAAACGCCAAAAATATGCGTTTCCTTTCTTGGTTTCCTTTTAAAACCCAGCAGAAGGTGTCCATCATGTTGAGAACCCTCCATTTGCTTAAGTCCATTGGAAAAAAAGACTGCGGATGGACAAACTCCTGCACCACCTAAGAAACCCTGGAATGATTCGATTCCCCTGGAAAAATACCCAACAAACGTTATATGGTTTCAACCATGGTTTCATTTCGTGGCGGATACACCCTTTTAGTTGTTTCTTATGCTGGTCTTAGGTAGACCCAAAGAACAATTACAGGTTCTCAACATGACTCACATGTGCTTGAGAACGGCATGGAGGTTGCTTCCACCCTGAAACCCTAAAGCAACTTCGGGCTTTTTTCCCTCCCTGCGATCTGACTGTACCTCTGACTGCACGGTACGGTTTCAACCATGGTTTCATTTCGTGGTGCGATTTCTGGATTTCGCAACCTTCCCCGGTATTTTGAGAGAAACCCAACGAAGGGCCCTGCCAAAGGACCCCACGACCCTGTCTTGTTCCTGGACTTCGTCCATCCGCAGCATTCTTTAGCCAATGGAAGGGACCCCCACCCTTCGGCTCACCGAGCGAGCGACTTGTCGCTTTGGCCCCGCCTGGCCGGGGCTGGGGGCCGACTGCCGCTCCTGGCGAAGCTGCACAAGCGCCCCGAAGTCGGTGGGGTCGGTGGGGTTGTTTGGCAGGGGCCCTGTGTTGGGTTTGTCACAAAACCCTATGGATGGTGGCGAAATCCAGAAGTCGCACCACAACAAGAAACCATGGTTGAAGCCATTCAATTCCATTTCACACCACCTGAGAAACCATGAAGCCATAACGGTTGTTGGTATTTACAGGGGAATCGAATCATTCCAGGGTTTCTTGGGTGCTGCGAAATGGATTTCGTCCACCCACAGTAGGGGAAACCCCCAATCCCCAAAATGGGGCCCGGTTTCCTTTTGGCTTCCCCTTAAGACCACCAAAGAAGCGGTGAAAGGCATGTGGCTCAACAACCCACATGGTCTTCTTTGCTCTGCTCATCCCATTATCCTTGTCCTAGGATCCTCCGCTCATCACTCATCTGAATCTGGTCCAAGCCAACCATCAAAATTGATGCTTGGGTGACTCAAAGAGGCTTGCTGCAGCCAATTCCACTCAGGAGGTCCAGACTGCTCCTATTGTTCTGATTTCCAAACAAATGCATGCATTTGTTGCTCTAATCCAAAAGCCTGAAAGAGAAAGAAGAAGGAAGGAGAGGGAGGATGAGGAAGTGGAGATAAAAAAAGAAGAAGAAGAAGTGGTAGAAGTCCAGGTAGAAGGGAGCAAAGGCGCACAAGGGAGCAGCAGCAGTCGACAAACTGTTCCTGTTGGTGCGCAAGTATCACCCTTCACTTGGACGAGCATCTTGCCCAGATTGTCGCAAGCTCACTTGGGGGTAAAAAGAGCTCACCACAATTCCCCTCCCTACCCAAGAACCAGAGTCAGAGAGGCCTTCACAGAAGGGCATAAGGCCAAATAAGGCCAAGCAAAGCCTCATCGGTTCGGGGGGGGTCTTTGGGGGGTGGTTTGTAGGGTCTCCTGACTTTTCGTTATTCATCTGCTAAAATGTTTTTCTATTCCCCCCCTCTGACCAACCCCACCAACCGAACGCCTGCCCGTAGGGCTGGAACTCATCACCTTGGCGAGCAGTGATCCGATTGCCAGGTCACGCTGACAAAAGGCGTCTGGCGCCTCGGTAACCCAACCCAAACATAGACACGCGCTCGCGCACACACACACACACACACACACACGCACACGCACACGCACACGCACACGCACACGCACACGCACACGCACACGCACACGCACACGCACACGCACACGCACACGCACACGCACACGCACACGCACACGCACACGCACACGCACACGCACACGCACACGCACACGCACACACCCGCGCACACGCACACGCACACGCACACGCACACGCACACACACGCGCACACGCACACGCACACGCACACGCACACGCACACGCACACGCACACACCCGCGCGCGCGCACACAGACACACGGCCGGACAAGGACTCTCTTCTCCACTCCCGGAGGGAAAGAACGTGTAAGAACTGAAAGCATCGAAGTCAAGAGGCATGGCACAGTCGTTCGATTCTCCATCAAGAACAGCCCCGTCTTTTCATTCGCTCAAGCAATTTCAAGAACACGTGTGACCCAAGCTGCTTCAAGTGCATGCCTGAAATTGCATGCAGGCCAAACAGAGACCAGTGAGGCCCAATAGGGCGACAACGGGCAAAACCATATGATTGTCTCCGCAAATATTTCGCCAGTCACGTCCTCACCGACACGGCGGAGTGATCCCTCGATACCATTTAGCAACTGGTTTGTGACCATTGCTATAGATTCGCCAGTGAAACCCACACTAACCGCGGTAACCAAGCCACTTACAAACTGAGAATTCTAGCCCCAAATTCACAGCTGTTCCATGTTTTATCCCTGCCCAACATTGGGATTCAGTTAGGAAAAGCTCACTTGCCCAACAAAAACCTGGAAGTAAAAGGTTAGCCTTTTGGGGCCTCTACTTGAAATAGACCAAAAGGGGAAACCAAAAGGTCAAAAGCTCGGCTTTGAATAACTGAGTCGAGCACCACCGATTCGATTCCGAGGCCCCCTGCTAGAGTCACTGCCCATCCGCGAGCGCCTGGAGGAGGTAGAATGCCGGTCACTTTTTCGGTCGGCTGAAAGGGGCCAAAAGGGGAAGTTTCTTTCGGAGGGTACCCGATGTATGTTGGGTTTAAAGGGAAACCAAGAGGAAAACCACCTCTTTTGGGGTCCCCAAAAAAAAAGACAGGCCCAAGCGAAAGCTCCTGGGTATGTTAGGTGCGACAAGATGCCAGCAAGTGATTGGTATAAAAAGGTCCCACAACAATTTTAAGGCCCCCTCCCATGGTCCTTCACAACTGGTCAAAAGACACTCGCAAATGGGCGCCACCGGAACATATCTCCTCTCCTTTAGAAAAAATCCGTGGCAAAATGAAACCAAGTCCCCGACTCGCGGAACCCAACTGTGTGCCATGGCAAACTCTGCCGGTGCCGGAGTGACCCCAGCGTCTCCACGGGGCGGTCTTTTGCTTTGGGAAGATTGGCATACTTTGAGGAGGTTTCTTTCATTTTGAAGAAAGATCCTACATTTGTGGATGAATGTCACTTGGAGCATTACGCCCACCAACCTTTCTTCATGGTGGCTTGAAAATACTCATGGCCATGCGGGTACGTGTCCTATTTTCGGGAACCAAACTGAAAAGGTGGTCTTCAATCTGCCTCCCCTGCAAAACAAGCCCAACAAGAGCCAGGCCCCCCCCACTTCAAACAAACAAAGACACGAGGCCAGCCATGTGTTCGGCGGCCCCGAGGCCCTCCGAAAATCTCAGGCGCGCACGCTTGGCCGCGTGAGGAAGGGCCTCGGAATGGATAGCTCCACGCTTGGGGAGGAATCCAATGGATCGATCTGCAGCACAGCAAGAATTCAGTCACGAATGGGCACTCATTGAAGAAATCATCCAAAAAAAACGCAACAAAATCTGGAATTCGCAGCGTCTCCTTGCAGAAAACAAGAGAAGACCGGCAAGGGAATTGCCCGGATATCTACTTCCATTTGCTGAATTATCCTGGACATAAATATGTATATATGTATGCATATATATATATATATTTCCAGTGGCGATAGATCCCCTTAAAAACCAACAGGGAAATATATATATATATGTTTAACCAAACAAAAAACGCCAATGGACCTTTCGAAGGCCAACAGACTATTAAAAAAAAAAAAGAAGAAAAGAAGAAGAGAAAAAGGAAAGCACGGAGACAACCCCAGGATCTCAAGGCCTGGCTCCCAATCCTCAAGCCTTCAGATAGGAGCCAGCCTTGAGACCTGAAGTGACTCATCTGGAGACACCTGGCCCCAGGGGACATAACACCCTCAGCTTCCCCAAGCAGATGCTTAAAAAAAAGGGTGGCATGGGCTGGGTAGCCTCCAGAACCGGTTCAAAAGTTTTTTGAAATCCCCCAAACCACCAATGCAAACCACCAACGAACGGTCCAAGTCGAAGCATCTGGTTCTGTATCTTGAAATCCCCGAACCAATCATGCCACCTTCAGGGATCCTGATCACCGGGATGCCGGTTGCTGGAGCCTGCAGCCAAGACCTGAATACCAAAAGTCGCCGACCAAAAGCATAGGTTCCACAAGAATAAGAAGCTTCTGGTTGCAAACCCGTCCCCATACAGTGGATGGTTGCGACTTTGTGTTCGCACCACTTCGAAACCACGGTTGAAGCCATTGTTTGTGTGGTATGTTCAGGGGAATCAAAATCCACACTAGTTTTACCCAATAGGCCAAAGTCTCTGCAAGGAAATCCGACCACCCAAACACCGATCCGATGCCGGTTCCCGTGATCGAGGCAGGGGCTCGCCATGGAACTCTGCGCCTATCCGAGGGGAGCGCACCAAAAGGGGCCAAAGAGTGAAACACGGGTCATACAACCAGGGCGGTGTACTCACTTCCTGAGTTTGTTTGGCCAAAAAAAAATCCAAGGTTCCATTTACCACAAAAAGGGTGTTCCCAAAAGGTTTACAGTCCAGGAGCTCAGGGAGTGAGTGCATGGATTTGCATTTTGACCTTGAAAAAGCTCCTACACTTTTAGGCGGTCAGGGGTCAAAAGACAAATGCCTTAATGGCCCACACACTTTGGAACAGCAGCAGCAGCTGCATGTATGTCAAGTTTCGGGTTGTGTGGGGCCATGCGCTCTCCCAATTGTTGGATTCCTTCCATGGCCACCCTGATGCGGCCACCTGCAAAAAGAAACATGTTGTTTGCTGGTTAAGAGGCAATCTATTCAGGAAACCCAAAAGGAGGCAAAAAGCAAACCGAACAAACAAGGCGTCCAGTCTGGCTTTGTGTCCTAGCAGATCCAGTCAACTACGAGTTCGGGCTTCCGACGAGACAGACTTTTGTTGGGATGGAGGTGGGGTGGCTTGGGGTTGGGTTGGGTTGGGTGGGGTGGGGTGGGGTGGGGTGGGGTGGGGTGGGGTGGGGTGGGGTGGGGTCGGGTGGGGTGGGGTGGGGTGGGGTGGGGTGGGGTGGGGTGGGGTGGGGTGGGGTGGGGTGGGGTGGGGTGGGGTGGGGTGGGGTGGGGTGGGGTGGGGTGGCCCCATGAAACTGGGATACACCACCGACCAGGCCACTGGATACACGGCCGCCTGCACCCCTTCCTGAGGCCATGATTTGTGCAACTCTCAAGATGCCAAACCCTCACTCCGGAAGCCAGGAATCAACTTGGTTGACCCCGCTGTGTAATTAACCTGCTTGGATTAGGTACTTAGACGGGTTGGTTTTATTTCCATGGTGAAAACACCTGCTTGCCGGCATTGGTTGATTTCGAGGCCTGACCCATTTACCAGGGGGCCCTCGACTTTTGGAGGAAGCAGATTAGTAATCCAGGTTCCGCTGAGGGGTGCCCTTTCAGAGGTCAATCTTGAAATGGGTGTGATTTCGGGGGCCCCCAAAATGGTTTGTTTTCCTGTTGGCTTCCCTTTAAACCCACATGGATGCTCTCAACCTGAGCATTCTTGTGGGTATTAAAGAACCGCATTTGAAGATATACCTATGGGTGATTTAAAGAAGAACCGACAGCTTCCCCGTGGCTTTCCAACAAATTCTCATTACCCTGAGATATTTATGCCTTGGTAAAGAATCCTTTACACCAAGTTCCCCCAAAAAGGCTTCTGATATCAAGGTCAGAGCTGAGGAATGCAGGGACGGGAGGACATCCCCGAAATCGGAGCGGGATTGGAGAGAACCCAATGTGAGAAGATTCCTTCAGCCACTCGCCCCCGAAAAAGCCAAGGCCAGCTATTTCTGAACAACTCCTCAGCCCTAAACCTACCCGAATCCCACCCTAATCCCACCCGAGTCAGGCTCAAAGAACCTGGTTTCTTAAAGCGGGCGACCCACATCCAAGCATCGCGGACACGTCTGCTGCAACTTCTGACTACTGATGTCCCCTGACCACCGGTCCAAAGTCCCAGGCCACGCACAGCTCCGGCACAAACTTCTTCCGGATCGCGTCGTAGATGGGCCTCCGGGCCATCACCCACGCAAGAAGACAGCGGCCGGAGGTAGAGGGAAGTTGGTTTCACCTACCAATTGACATGGAACCAACGGGGTCCCCTTTAAAAGGAAAATAGCCTTCCTTGTTCATTGCTGGGAGGGCATATCCGGATTCTTTTCGGCACGGAACGACATTGTCCAAGGTGAAAATGGCTTGGGGGCCACGGGTTCTGGAGAATCTATACGTGCTGGATAAGCAAGAGTGCGGGAATACGTCTGTTGGAGCAAAAGCGCTGGCCATGCTGGACCTGGGCTGTCCGTTGTCTGATCCCCCACTAAAAGTTTAACTTTTAGTGAGTTAAATGCAAATCCCCACTAAACAGTCATTAAAAGGCCAAAAAGCTAAGGAACCGGATGGCTGGGAGGTCCAAGGGACGTGAAAGATGCTGCACAAAGGGGCTGAGTCCAATCTTGCAATTCGACACAACTTGTCTGAATCCCAGGTCCAAAACTGCGCAAGCGCCCGAAGCGGTTGCAATAAGCTAAACTCCTGATGGCCTCTGCACGAACTCCGGGATGTCCTTGTGAACATCCTGGCGCAAAACTTGGGGACACCATGTCTCGTTAAAATGGGTATGGTATGAATCTTAGTCGACCCTGTGGATTTCATTGGGGGATTGTCCACCAGTCATGGGGCTTGGTCCACATCATTAAATTTCCATAACCACAGCGCGCATTGATTTGGGTACTATGATGTACGCTGATTACGACAACATGTGTATGTCAAATCTTAGTTAGGTGCTGGTTTGCACCAGTTGTCCGCCCAAAGACGGCGAGCCTCGTGGGTTCCTCTTGTTTGACAGGAGGCTATGTGTCAAGCTGAGCAACACCACGGTGTCGAGTACATGAAGGGTCCAAACTGATATGGCTTTATGTTTTGATGAGGCCAAGGACATTGAGTCGTCCAAAAGAAGGGCTCCTCGAAATGGTTGGGGCACCTTTGGCTTACCATCCAACACGACAGGAAGGCTGTATGTGCTGGCCCCTGTCTGCGGAACGTGACCAGGAACTTCCTTTTTTACATGCGCCAGAAGCAGGTTCCAACGTGGCTATGGTTAAACTGACTTGCCGTAAGTCCCCCAGCGGGTTTTACCCAGGGCAACAAAAGTCCTGGAGCATCCAAGCACTCTTCTAGGTCCTCCAGTAGAGAGATTAGAATAAGTTGGTACCCGATTTTTTCTGTAGTCTATTTTGTCTAGGATTCCCCCAAGCAAAAAAGACTGGGTGAGAGGTCGGGCACCTAGGGACCTGGCCTTCGATAGCCTTCGGCGGATTTTTTTGCAGCGAACCCCTCGCGCTCCTCTAGGCCCTTGTTCATCACGGCCCAATCTTCGAAGCTCATGTCCTTCCAGTCCCACCCCAACACGTGCCGGGACTGCCATTGAGGCGCTAAAGATGTGGAGGCGCTCTGAAACCAACCCTGAGAATCAGGGAAGAATACGATCAAGTATTTCATCCCCTATATTTTGCATGCTGCCTCCCGGGTTACTCGCTGTAGGGATTTGAGCATCATTTCAGGATGCCGACAAGAGCTGTGCGGGGTTCCAGCGTGACTCCGGAAGCAAACACTCAAAATACATGCCTTTCAAAAATTGAATCTGGCGACGAACCTGCACTTTCCAAAACAGCAGTGGGGTCAACGCGCAATTCGACCCGACAACTCCGTGTGACAAGGGTAGATTGAGGTACGCGCCTCGCTACCCTACCAAACCCAGAAGGTGTTTGGTGCTTGGGCCTAAGGCAGGGCCATGGGATTTGCACTTTGAAGCCAACAAGTGCTCTGGCCACGACCAGAGCAAAGGCTTTGTCCACCACGGTGGTGAGTATTTTTTTAGGTGACCCCAAATGGTGGTGTTCCGTTGGCTTTCCTTCTGCGTGGCAACGCGTGATCACTTGCGCGGGTCTGCTTTAACAAGCGGCCGACGCGTGCGTGGTCATTCCTAATATCTCCACATTGGCCAACGGTTGTATGTGCAAGATCATGCAGGATCACTCAAGCGAGTGCGCTCAACGATTGGCCAGATTGGCCATCGTGTCATGTGGAATCGCTTCCAGCATGTGCAGAGGTGATGCCGTGTGCTCAACATGTCGCCAGTATGTGTGTGTGTGTGTGCGCGCGCATGGTTGCGCTTGACATTGGCTAGCACACGCGAATGATCATGTAGGATTGCTTGAGCGAGTGTTTTCGAGGCTAACGAACGAATGAACAAACCAACCAACCAAACAAACAAATGAAACAAATCACTGCGCAACTTGCAGCACAACAACAAACTAGACAAAACAAAACAAACCAACAAATCGACTGGTGTTTACACTCCTGAGTGCCCTGCCCGGCCCGGCCATTGTTGGAATCACAGGGACATGGACGCACCACCCACGTGTTCTACATACGGTGATTGAAACAGGAATGGGTCTGCCTCCTCGCACCTCTGCTCGCCGGAGAAAAAACACAGTTTATTGGTAGGCACCGTGGTTAATGCATGGCACGGGAGCACCTCGGCGCTTTACAACTTCCGGTCCACGTTATGCCTGGCATGTGGCATGGTCAATGCACTAACCATTCATGGCTATGGCTCTCAGCTTACGAGCCAAACTTGATACAGTGTCCCTGGGACGAATCTGGACAGTTGCATCACATTCACCTGCTGACCTGGATCCCCTTGTCCAGCAGGTGCTTGTTTTTGAGGGAATCCGTTGAACCCCGTTACACCCACGCACCTCCACCGGCCCCCGGCAATCGCTGGGTCTCCCGGCCCCCAACTCAGCGCTGCCGTCCCCGTGGATCACGGCGTGCAGCATGACGGTGGAAAACATCAGCTGAGACCTCAGCTGGAGCCGCCTCTTGTTTTTGCTATGGCCAGATCCCACCAAATTCGCTACGAGGCAATAATGCTCGGGTTGAGGGAGTTTTTCGGGGGGTTTGGGAATAACCCAAGAATCCCCGCAAGGGATGGATTCTTTGCTCGGGGATTGGTGCGCGGTGTCTGTTCCACGCGATGGGGGGAGGAGGCCCCAAAGCTCCAGAAACGAGTTGTTGCGCGTCGACCCCGGCCATCAACGAGCTATTGGTGAATGGGGGAGGTCTTGGTGAATGATCCACACATAGCTCAGCTCCCTGGTTTCTTTGGGGCCCAGTTGGATCGCCAACTCTCATCTCGCGAAGCCGAAGTTTGACATTGACTTGTTGCGAACCCGCCGAAGGGAAACAAGGCGCTGAAGAGGTACAGTCGAAACAACCATCCACAATATATGCATGGTCCTGGACCATATCTTGGTGAACCTTAAAGTGAAACAATGCCAAAAGAGATCCCACATATGGGTATGGGTCAATTTTGAGCCACACCCATATTTCAGCATGTTTGTGTACACTTCATCGGGTCTGCGAAACACCTGAGGCTTTCGTCCAATATGTGAGTGCCCGCGCTGGTTGCCGCCCAACATGTACCTAGAGTCTCCTTTTGACCCCTAGAAAAAAAATTGGCCCATCTGACCCGAATCTTTCTTTTGGGCAATGACCAACCATTTTTTAAGGGTCATGGAGAGTCAGCCATATCCCCCTTGCGGATATCGACCCCTGGTGGACAAACCCATATCTCTCGAGAGGGCCGTAGGGCCCTTCACCCCATGGCCAAGGTGTCATTGTCTTGCGACGTGTGATGGCTTCTTGTGTGAGGCACTCCAGGGTGCCCTAGAGCTATTTTCAAAATTCCTAGAACTATTTCGAACATCTAGGTGTGCTTTAGAGCTATTCATATATTTCCAAGGGTGTGCTCTAGACTCAAACAAGAACTACTTCAGAGTTCTAAGTTGTGCTCTAGAACTTTCTCAGATGTCCAAGAGCATATTCTCGAGCTATAACCAATATCCAAGAGTGTGCTTCAAGACTATTTGCTGTTCCCGAGTGCTAGAACTGCATTTCTTTAACACTTCGCACCGGAGAGACCCCCAACTTAGCAGGCAGCTGCAGTGTTCGCCTTTTGGTTTCCCTTTAAACCAATAAAACATCCACGCAAGATAGAGCAAACACAGGGGCACAGAGCAGTCGTGTTGTCAAACCGCCGAAATTCGCCCTTCCTGAGTGTTAAAACTATGGTCTGGATGAATTGAACAATTATCCACGTATCTCCTTGTGGTTTCTCTGATCTCGCGCTTTCTCAGAGACAAGAAAATCGTACTCACTCTCTTTCCACGGGCGGTTTCACCCCTAGACTAACGGGCCAAGACAAAATGGAGTACATCTGATCACATCAAGCGAACCCCGACTTTCCTCCGGAGGGGAAGCATGGACCTATGCTCAGCGGATGGTTCCTCTCAGCGATGAGGCAGAAAGCCAAGTGTGTGCTTACTGTACTAAGCACCGATAGAGCTTGAGAAACTTGAAGGCACACAAGAAGAACCTGCAACTCCAAAGGGCAAGAGGCGCCTTTCGGGCAACTATGGCTCCGAACTTTCCAAAGGTACACTTCCCCTGCTATGAGGATAGCCCAAAGGAACCGCAAACGTCGTACCTGAATGAATCGAACGGCAGCGGAAAGGCAACTTCCCCCCTCTGGTGAAGGCTGGGAAAGCAAACCGATACCCAAAGGTCCGCAAGTTTCACGCATTCCCTGACAAAAGCTCCAGAAACTTCTTGGTCCGCTGAAACTTCTTATCGTCTTCTCCTAAGTCTGTGCCTAATATATATTTCGGCTGGAAGCTTTTAGCAAGAACCTTGGAGTTGAAACGGGCCACATCTTGAAAGCCAACAAATTGCTGGTTCTCAGCTGGGAATGATCCCAAAAAAAACATCCATCCTATGGTTTCCTTGCCGCAATCTCCTTCCGGTCCCTCCCCCCAACTCCCGGACTCGGCCAGAGAAAGAATGTGCCAAGCGCATTCGCCGGACTGGGACCACTTGAGGCACTCAGCTCCAAGGAGTCGGTCTAAAATGTGTTGCGCAAACGGATTGCCATCTTTGCAACGGATTGAAACGCCGAGAAACATCGTCCAATCTCCAGGTGCCGGTGTGGGCTTTTTTGCTTATTGGGGGGGGGAACAAAAACCGGAAGTGAAACCAGTGGACATCTAATCTCCTGAACTTCCAACCCAAGGACTTGGTTGACCTTGGAAGGGAGCAAAAGTTCAACTCTTAGCAGTTTTGTGGAGATTTCAACCACTAAGCCACAAGAAGCAAAATGGTAAAACGCTTCCCAAGAAGAACCATCTGCGAGTTGCCGTCCGGTTCTGATCCGGTTCTCTGGGCCGGACAGGACCTGGGCACTGGAGATGTACTGCAGCAGGCCATGGCCCACCTGAGCCGATGTCAGGTCGATGTCAGGTGGAATCCACTGGCTGTGGGTGTCAAGATCCAAAAAAACAACCTGGTGAACATCACAATGGCACATGGATGTTCATCCACCCCATGGGATCGCCACAGGTTATTCCCGCCAACTGAGTAATCAAACCCTTGGTATCAAAATGGGTCGAATCCCCAGAAACCTTTGTAAGGAAGTAAAAGCCGGAACTCTGGCGGAATTTGGCACCCATTGATGTGATTGGGACTATCCGGGTTTTGACTGTGGCTCAAATGAGTCAACAGTTGGCTTGTGGGGCGGGAATGAACCCAATGGATCCCTACGGAAGGGAATTCATGGCGATTTTCCCTTTGAGAACCAGCGGCGGAGAAATGCGGGGTTGCACTTCTCCCGGAACCAAGAGCCACTATCCGTTGATCCAGTCGACGAGTGGGGGAAGGGTCCTCGCAGCAAGCCTGGTTGGTCATGTTGAGGGATCTTGGCAAAAGGTGGGTGCCTCTTCCAAAGCTAGGCGAGACATGAATCCAAACATGTTCCATAGGGCTGCTCTCAAAAAAAAGCGTGAACCTGTCCAATGGCAAAGTGCTCTGTCAAATCATGTGTTTCCCACGTGTGAGGGAGATCACACCTATCCTTCAAACAGAGGAGGGATGCCTCTGATTCTGGTCCTGGGAAAACTCCCTATCTCAAAGGGGAGTCCTCTTCCGGTCCTGGCTAAAAACAATCTAAAGACGGCAAATCTGTTCTGCTTTCCACAAAACAATCGATCCCTCGAATGGTCTTAGCAGGCAAAGCTTGGGCCAACCTGCTGAAAAAAGCACTACTTTTCAAACAACCTGATCTCGATGTACCTGAAAAAACCGCTACTTACACCACTGATCCTGATTTGCCTGCAAAGCCACGACTTTTCAAGCAACCTGATCAAAAACATGAGCCTGTTTTCATCCAGAGCTCCAGGCCTTCGAGATCTCACCGGAAACCGGAATCCGAGATCGCGATTTCTGACTCTGTGGCTGCTGCCAGCTCTCGAGTGTCCATGGTCTTCTCCTCCACGCCCTGGCCACGGCAAGGGGTTGGTGCCCTGAACGGGGGGGCCAGAACTCATGTCCGAACGAGTGGAAGGGCCAAGAAAAGTCCAGGAACTGTTCGGTTTTACCACCGAAAAGGTCTTCTGTCCAGGAACTCAAGGAGTGAAGATAAAGAGTCCGGAAAAGGACAATGGATGGGATGTCTGATCTGTGTGTGTTAATAAAAAAAACTGCCGACTCTCACCCGTGTTCTGCTTCCACATCCCTGCCCGGATGTTCGAAAGTGATTTCGGCGCGGCCTGGCTTCAGCTTTTATAGGGCAGGGAATGTGTGATCCACTGGTCGGGTTCTGCCTCTGTGGTGGTGTGTCTTTTTTGCGGGACCCCGAAATGGGATGCTTGTCCCTCCAAAAAAGACACACCCAATGGGTTCGTGTTAACTTCACAACACTATCCCTCCAACTCATATGGGTTCCAGCCAAACTTCCTGTCTTCATGCTGACTCCGAAGGTCCACAAACATACCACAAGCATGACACATCGTCCTGGTACGCGGATGACTCCACCAAAAAGAAAGGCGGGCTCTGCGGGAGAAAAAAAACAACTAAAACTCTCCGGCTACCGGTGGCTGGCGGCACCACATGCCACCCTTCGAGTCCTCTTTCACAAAGGCCCAACCTTTGGCACTCCCATGATAGGTTTGTCTCAAACCAGCAACCCCCCCCCAAAAAAATGCGGATATCCTTCTGTTTCCCTGTTGTAAGCAACCCCAAACCGGGGTATGGCCCAAGATCAAACTGTACATGGCAGGCGAGCTCGAGCGCCTCAGGCAGCTCTTCCAGGTTGCAAGTCAACCAATCAGATCAATAGCCGACCATATGGGTCGTCTCATTTTGCTGGTTTCCCCCTCGTTTCCCCTTTGAAACCGAGCCAAAAGACCCGCCCCCCCCGCCCAAAGAAAAAGAAGAAGAAGAAACAACACGCCCGTGTGCATCGTCGATGACAAAACCCTGCAGCAGCACAGAGGTGGTGTGTCCCCACAGGGTTTAGTCCATCCCAACTGGTGGGAAGTGGATGTTGTCCATCCACAGTAGCACGCAAACCTGATAGCCTGGTACCGGTGCCCATTGCTCACATCCAACAACACAACCCTAGTAAACAGAATTAACACATGGGGCTTACTTCTCCTTTGCTAGCTTCATGGTGCCCCCTGTTGCCATGAAACTACTGTGGATGGAAAAATCCTGCACCTGAACAATCCATTTAAAAAAAATAAAATGTTGGCGTTTACGGGGGAATCGAATCCTTCCAAGGTTTCTGAACGGTGGTGCGAAATGGAATTCGTCCACCCACAGTACCAGTAGATAGCCCAAACCAGGACCCCGCGGGTTGGCATGACCGATCCTCCACCTGTGGATGGTTGCGAGATCCAGAAATCGCACCGTTCAGAAACCCAACGGAGTCTGATTCGATTCCCCTGCAAGCTGCCAACAAACGTTTGGTTGTTCATGGTTTCAGAGTGGTGCGAAATGAATTTCGTCCACCCATAGGATCCGCCTTGGCTCACCAAACCTTCATTCTGTAGCTTACAGCCAGCAAGCTTCGCCAATTGTCTGGAATCGCCAACCACCTCCAGAATCCGCATTCTCCAAACATGTCCATCCTCATTCGGGAATCATCTCATGGCAAAGCTTCACTTCTTTGCCGCCAGCCACCACATGGCCTGGTGAGCCTCATGCTCCAGGACGCCGCAGATTCCCTTTTGTCTCCCTTTGAGCTGGGAAACGTTAGGAAACCTGCAAGAAACGTGTGGAAACCCTTCGCAAACTGTGAGAAGTCGTCTTGGAAGCCTTCAAGCAAACGATGGCCAGACCCGCCACAAACCAAACGACCCCAAAAAAAGGGGGGTTGGCAGCCGGAAACATTGAAAAAAACCTGCTACAGCCTCAGAAGCAAAGTCCTCGAGTTTTTTAGCCTCCAAACCAAAGCGACACGCCCATCGCTCGCCCCTTCGGCACCGGCACTCGCGGCACTCGCCTCTGCGGGCAACATGGACGGCGACAGGGCCCGATGCTTCCGCCACCTGAGCCGCCGGTCGCGCTCAGGGGCCTGGTGACCGAAGAAAAGGCACCGGCACCGGCGCCTTTGGTTAGAACCAAACCGAAACCTAAAGCCTAAAACCAAGTAGATGCTTTGATTCACTCAAACTGAAGCCAGTTCTTGTTTCAGCCAAGTTGTTTCTAAGCGCACAGCTATGCCATGTCCGCTGAAACGAAGGATGTCGTAACTTGCCCGGAGGAAAGTCACTTCAAATCACATTGGTCCAAGTGGTGATGATACGGTTGATTTCTCAGCCTAAATATTGCGCGTGGCACATTATCCTCTGTCCCTTTGATTTGTTTATCCCTGCGGAATCAACCCTAGAATGCCACGAATGGGGAGGTTCGGGAAAGAAAAGCAGGCAACCTCTGGGCTGCAGAAGTGCCCGCAGTATCGCGCCGGGCAGCAGCGACTGGGCGAAGCCGTGAAGACGACAGCAGCAGAGAAGCAAGTGCGGGAGCAGCTCAGGCCCGAAGCTGGCATCTGTCAGTGCGCGGAGGAATCCTTGCTGGTGCGATAGGTAGGGAATGTGGGAATGAAGCCAGGGGTCCCCTTAAAGGAAGCCACAAGGGATGGTTTAGGATCACTCCCTCATTCCCTGCTGAGCAGCAGCAAGAATATGTCTTCCTGGAGAAAAGTGAGAGGCGCTCTACATGGTCGAAACTAGCATCAGGAGCGCAGATAAGCCCATGAGGGGATGGGGCAAAGCACGCTGGGCGCGAAGTGAGCTGGGTGTTGTTTTTCATTCTCAATTGTCTAGCGACTCCCCAAACTGAACTCAGATGCCCAGTGGCCATGGAGAAAAGAAGGAGCATCCTGTTTTGGTTGACAATTCTAGGGGAACCCTTCCCAGAGAAAGGAAAAACCACTGGGCAACTGGGAGAAGTAGCCGGATAGCATGACTCCTGCTCTTTGACCCTGGCCCCAACTGGGCCAAGGCGAAATAAAACACCGAGGAGCCGGCCACACCAGGGCGGCGGCATGCAGCAGCCTCTCCATCCTGTCCATGTCCTGCGCGGTTCACTCTTGCTCGGAGGCGTTGGATTCGCCGGCCGCAAAAAAAACAAAAGGGTCTCCCTTCGCAGATATGGCTGTGGTGGTCAAAACCGTCTTGGGATCCCATTTTGGTAGGTGCGCCACCCATTTTAGAACCTATTTTAGTGGGGGTTGGGATGCTCCCTGGGGGTACGATTTGGATTTTGACCCATGGCCATATCTGTATTTGCCTCTGTCGCGTGTGTCTATTTGGTTGGTGCCTGGTTTCAAAGGGATTTCAGAGATGCCGTCCGTGTTGGGGGGTTCACTCAATATGGGTACAAGTGCAAGCAACCTCTATGAGGCCCAAGGTCGCAACCCCCCTGAAATTTTGGATCCCCGCTAATTGACTCAGATGCTAGGCTTCAAGATTCATGTTGACATGCCCCACCAAAGGAAGAAATCTCGAGCGTCTGAGTCGGTGCTCAAACGTGGTCAAGAAATCCACCCCCAAGCAGATTCGGGCGGAGCCAGATTCGGGCGCCAGCATTCACAACCGTCGTCAGTGAAAAGCTCGATGTTCTAGGCGCAAAAGCCATTGTTGACATCTCCTGCGTAAAAAGACCAAACCATGTTTGGGCGGTTCCTTGGGCTCTCTTTCAGAGCCACTTTGGCATGAGTTGACACTCGGCCCTCGTGTGATTTGACTATGGCGCCGCTGTCCGAACCTCGCAGACAACCAGGTTGCTTGAAAAGGATCCCGAGTCAACTGACAGGGATCCCCCGAAAGGCTGGTGGATATCGTAATGCATGGTTTGATGAGAGCCACCTCAGATATGGTTGATTCCGATTTCTGTTGCGAGCAGGGAACAAACAAAACGTGCTGCAGTATGGATTGTGGTCCTTGACTCGCAAGACTGAGGTTGAATCCACTTCATATATATATATATAGATATGTATGTATACAAAAATCATAAATCCACATATATATATAATATGTATATATATATAATATGTATATATAATATGTATATATATATATATATATTTGGGGGGGGGGGTACCATATATATATATATATGTATTATATGTATTATATATAAATATGTATGTACGTATGTATGACTGTTTCTCAAAATAGGGGACCCTACAAATGGGTTGTTTCCTTGTGGCTTCTCTTTAAAACTACCCCAAAAGGGATCCACCGTTTTTGAGCAACCAAATATGTCAGCCGTCCAAACTGCAACCTTCTTCCACGCATCTATGTCTCTCCTCGGGGAGCTGGATACGCGAAAAGGACATCTCTAAGCCTCGGAACCCATGGACGAATCGGGCCAGGCTTCGGATTCGCCACCTTTGACTCTGACACAGTTCCACCCCCTTGATATTGGCGGTGCTTGCCCCATTGTTTTCTTGCATCGTGGGCTGAATACGCAGATGGTCGGCCTGTGCCCAAGGTGACAGTGCCCGTTTCATGCGCAGGTTTCGGAGCATAAAATGCTTCTGCACAGTGGTTTTTGGAGAGGCATCTGTTCATCCAGCTGCAAGCCAATGCAGGTTTTTGCTGATGACGCGTACGAGGTCAACTGACTCGTTCCCCAGCCAGAGCTCATAATGCAGGATGCAACTTCCTACTGCCTCGTCCTGGTGATGCCCACGCCCAAGTTCCTACTGCCTCAGGCCTGGTGATGCTCATAATGCAGGCCCAGCCGCCTTGCAAACGCCCAAGTTCCTACTGCCTCAGGCCTGGTGATGCTCATGATGCAGGCCCAGCCGCCTTGCAAACGCCCAAGTTCCTACTGCCTCTCATGATGCAGGCCCAGCGGCCAAGTTCCTACTGCCTCAGGCCTCATGATGCAGGCCCAGCCGCCTTGCAAACGCCCAAGTTCCTACTGCATGATGCAGGCCCAGCCGCCTTGCAAACGCCCAAGTTGCTGCTTGGCCTGGTGATGCTCATGATGCAGGCCTGGCGGCCTTGCAAACGCCCAAGTTCCTACTGACTGAAGGCTGGAGAAGCTCATGATGCAGGCCCAGCCGCCTTGCAACTGCCCAAGCTCCTACTGCCTCAGGCCTGGTGATGCTCATGATGCAGACCCAGCCGCCTTGCAAACCCCCAAGTTCCTACTGCCTCTGCCTCAGGCCTGGTGATGCTCATGATGCAGGCTCATGATGCAGGCCCAGCCGCCTAGGCCTGGTGATGCTCATGATGCGGGCCCAGACGCCTTGCACACGCCCAAGTTCATACTGCCTCAGGCCTGGTGAGGCGCCTTGCAAGCGCCCAAGTTCCTGTTGCCTCAGGCCTGGTGATGCTCATGATGCAGGCCCAGCCGCCTTGCAAACGCCCAAGTTCCTACTGCCTCAGGCCTGGTGATGCTCATGATGCAGGCCCAGCCGCCTACGCCTGGTGATGCTCGTGATGCAGGCCTGCAAACGACCAAGTTCCTGCTGCCTCAGGCCTGGTGATGCTCATGACGCAGGCCCAGCCGCCTTGCAAACGCCCAAGTTCCTACTGCCTCAGGCCTAGCAATGCTCGTGATGCAGGCCTGCAAACGACCAAGTTCCTGCTGCCTCAGGCCTGGTGATGCTCGTGACGCGCAGGCCCAGCCGCCTTGCAAACGCTCAAGTTCCGATTGCCTTAGCCTCATAATGCGCACGATGCTGGCTCAGCTGCCTTGAGGCCTGGTGATGCTCATGATGCAAGGCCCAAACACCTTGCAAACGCCCAAGTGCCGCAGCCTGGTGATGCTCATGATGCTGGCCCAGCAACCTTACAACAAAGGGTAGATTCCCGATGCTCACGCTAGTGCAGCATGATTTTGCAAAGGTCGAAATCTGAAATTGCAAAGGTCGAAGTCTATCAGTCAGTCAGTTCTCTCAGCATCCCAACGGGTCCAACATGATTCTTGAGCAAAAGGGAACTAGGTCCTCCAGTACAGAGGTTAGAATAAGTTGGTACCCTTTTTTCTGTAGTCTTTTTTAGAAGGGGAACCCTCTCCACAAAAAGTCTGCGAGAAGGGCACTGAGGCAGGGATTCGATTGTTAGACCTCAGGTTCGGTTCCGAAAGGCTCCCCTCGGGCCCCTCAGCCCCGAGGCCCCGGCAGGAGATCACCCCAGTGCAGAGCAGCGGGAGGCTGTCCAGCACTCCGAAGCGCACCAAGAGGCACAGAGAGAAGTCCTCCCAGTCCCCGTGGAGGCCAGATGGGTCAAAATCCAAATCGGTTAAGTCCTCCCAGTGGTTGCCATATGACCCATGGCCTCCAAATCGGTTAGCCCCCAGTGAATATCCGAATCATCACTGAAAATAGGTTCTAACATGGGTGGTGAATTCACCAATCCCAACCGAAATGGGATCCCAAAACGGTTTTGACAACCACAGCCATATTGGAAGTAACCCAACCACAGCCGCAAAACCATGGTTGCAAGTCCACCGGAAAGTTGGATGGCGTCCTTGTTCCCTTGGCAATAGTTGGGAGCATTTTTCAGGGGTCGGGCCTGTGACATAGACTCGTGTTCTTAGAAAGTGGTGGGTCCCTTACAGCATCACCCTGGCAAGGAAAGCTCGCCAAGGGTGATGGGGACCACTCCTCTCCCGATTCATGAAGGACATGATTCGCAACAATCAGAAATCAGGAATCCCCAGTATTCCGGTTTATTGGTGGTGCCGGGTGTCGTGTAACGGCATGTCAAACGAGTAAACCCTGGATGATTCAGGGGTTCACTTTTGGGGATTTCAGAAGTAGTGTGCCAGGTATATGGTGTCAAAACGAAAAGCCAAAATGAAGCTGGCTATGTTTTGGGGGTTCCGAGTTTTGGATTTTACCCATGAAATTGCCCAGATGACAAGAGGGCGCAATGCAGGAGAGACTGCCTGCCCTGTCGTGTTGTTTCTCTCGCTCTCTCTCGCTTAACGAGGAAGCCAAGTGCAAGCCCCTGTCGAGTTTCTCCGGATGAATGGTCGAGTTACTGGCCATCCCGCTGTCTACTTACTTCCTGAGTGGATTCGTCAGAAATAGTCCAGGTGTTTTGCTCAACAAGGATCCTCCGAACAAGCTAAAAGGCCACTAACTGGGAAAGTAATCTAGGTATGGGTGTGTCTCAAAATAGGACGCCCAAAACTGTTTAGCTTCCTTTTGGTTTGCCTTAGCAACAGAAGGGTCCTGCCCCGGCCCAAAAGGAGACCCCCGAAAAAAGTCCAGTTGTACAGCGCTCCATTTGCAGGGCGGCCGAATGAACTCGCATCTTTGCACTTGTCACTTCTCTGCAAACGTGGGACCCCAAGGGGTGTTGTCCCGTTGGCTCACCATGACTTCTCTGTTGGCTTTCTGTTGTCTTGCTCCCTTTGGAACACCAAGCAAAAGCTTATCCTCAAAGACCCATTTGGCGGTGTACCACCGAAACCCGCTTTCCGCACGGAAAACAATTTTTGGAAGGGGTATCTCCGGTTTGCGGCCGTCCTTCTGCAGTTTTCCGCAGCTTTCGGCCCTAGGCGGGTCCTGTCCCAGGAAGTTCCCGATCTTGCCCTTGTCCGCGCCCTGCGAAATGCACCAAGCGGAGGCGCGAGCAAGAAGCGCCCTTCACACCAAATCAACCGACCCCAGTGACCAAGGGCGTCTTGTGCCATCAGAAAGATGTTCTTGAAAAGGGTCATGGAACACCTTACAAGAGAAGCACCGTATGGGCTGCAACCTTAGACTTCCATTTGGTTAAGACCCTGGAACAAACAAAAAATCCAGTAGTGATAGATTCCCTTCAAAACCAACAGGGGAACATTATATATATATATATATATTCTTAAGCAAATGGAAGCAGAAGACACTTTGGGAGACCGTGGGCTACGAGCAGTGCCGCTCGCCTGAAAATGTGGATTTACTCGTCAGTCCTTGCAGCAACGCGATGGATGAAGCCAAGTTAAATCGAAGTTGCAAAGGACAATCTCCTTCAGACTGAGGTGCACCACCATCATATAACTAACGAACCTACTTTCAACACAACACATTCGCATCCTCAACTATGGGAACTTGCAACTTGTGCCTCTTCCAGTTTTCGGACACATGCACTGGCAATGTTTCCGGGGACATGCAGAGATGGCAGAGATGGGTTCGATGGAAACTGCACAGAGCTGATGGGAGCGTCCAGCGAGGCCAAAGTGGGGCAGGGCCACCGGGGTCACCAGTTTTCCGCTTCGATCCGCCCGGAAACTCCACGAATTTGTTGCGATCTGATCCTTGGCCCGAATTGGCTCTGGTCAAAATCAACCACATCGGTAAGGGGAAACATGGACCAAGACCTGCGGTTGTTTCCCCCTCCAGTTTGTTTTTTACGTTTGCATGCCACACCTGATTTGTTTTGAGGCTCCAGAAACATGCTTCAAAATGGACGCCTGGGGCATGCACACCGAGAGGGCGGACCGACGCCGCCGAATGGGCGTGAAGATGGTCACCCAAAAGATGCGACCTTGCTTTCATGCTCCTTTCGGAATTTTGCAAGTGATCATTCTTGCAAGAGACGAACCCCCCAAAAGTTGCTTTTCCTTTGGGTTTCCCTTCGAAGGAACATAAATAACGGGTATCTTTAAAAGAAATACAGACCCGAAACGGAGCCCAAGAAAGGAACCTTCAGCGGCTTTCCGACTACCACATCCCACTCCTCGCGGGACTCTAAGGGTGCCCGATACTTCCTCTGAAAACATCCCCCCAACAGGGAGCTCGCCAAAAATCAGTCAAAATGCCAAAAATGATTCCTGAAACCCGCAACCTCTGGAATGACACCAAGGCGCTGTCATTGGAAGATTTCATGTGCTCCCACCTCTTGGAAAGAGGACATTCTAGGACGAATGCTCCTGCCATCCGGCTGATTTACCTGCACTGGTGGCTGCCATGTTTGGGGCTTCCCCTGCAGGAGGCATGAGGGCTTTCCGCTTCGCACAACTGCGCGCCTCGGTGTGAAGCAGGGCCCTTGCCGCCGCCCCGTAGCTCTCCTCGAAAATCGACAGGCCACAGGTGTTCGATCATCTGGAGGTTACGCGCAATTCCGTTTGGTAAGGGAAAATGCCGGGTGGCTCGCTTTTGCTTGAGGGTACCTCTTACAAGATTGTTTTCTTTTTACGTATGCATTTATTAGATCATCTATCTTAGTCTATGTTCATCTAAGCTGACCTTAAAGGACACCAGGACGCCTACGTATGCCGCTTGTTTGACCGCCAGCCAGCTTTTGGTCAAATACAGGCGTTGGGGAAGAACAGGGTCCTCCCCAATTGCTCCGCCCCTCCCTTTGCAGCGCCCACAACCGGCATGGCTTGCTTCTGAAATGCTCAGTTGCCTATCCTTAAAGCTGCGCTGGCTCAAATCACGAAAATTCACATACGGCAAAGAGGAATCTGCCATGGTGAGCCATGAGCTCGCTTTCAAGCAGAATGCACATCTTGAAGCCAGCATAAAGCTGAGCCACCACTAAGAAACAAGCCGTGAGTTGACGCTGCCACTCTTTTGGCCAGCCAAGCCGAAAGCCGCGCCGGCTTTCCGCAGCCGTCTGCCATTGCCCTCCAAAGCCCTGCCTCAGAGATCTGGTTGGGCAACCGGAACTCTTTGACAAGCGTCTTCATTGAGGAGTATTGTCGAGTGATCTCTGCCGTTTCAGGCGCCGCTCGCTTGACAATCCTGCCCCGAAGCTGTCACAGCGCAACCCTTGCACAAGCAGAGCGAAACGCCATGGATGAAATTCGCCTGGGCCCCCAAGGCCGGGAAGCGGTCAGATCCTTCTTTAGCGCACAGGGATCTCCACAACCCCTGCCTCAAGATCGGGCTTGGTCACTCAGAGCGCTGGCTTTGGCCCTGGAGTAGGCACGGCACCCGTCGCCCTTCGACGCTGGGTGAAGCTCTGGCCCTCACAGCGCCACCCAGCAATTCTCGATGCGCGGCATGGCAGCCACTCTTAAGGATTGCCATCAGAATCCGTAGCTTGACATATTTCACGAAGCTCGGCTCATGCATTTTGAGCAGCTCTGAGGCCAAAACGCCAAGCTATCCCGCCACGTAGCGCCGGTGTTTTCAAGAAGCATCTCAAACACGTGAAGACTAGGATGCAGAAACGCGTGAACATGCACCTGCTGCACATCCAACCCAGGCACACATTGTGTTGCCGACTCACTCACTCAGAAAACACGGCACTTCAAAGCCAACCAAAAGACGCGAGCAGCGCTCGAAAAAATCACAATAAACTCAGCCGCGCAATTCCACTATACGCTCATGTCTCTTTCAATTCAACCTCCAAATCAATCAGCCGTTGTATATTTTGAGACCCACACTAAAGGCCGCACCGCGTATGCAAGGAACCTTCATCTATTAGGAGACAAACCATGCCCATAAACATATTCTGCTATATGACATCCTCCATCTTGGCCCACACCTAGGCTACAACAGAAAACCATTTCTTCCGACTCTGGTTCACACATCATATTCTCATCCTTACTCAAAACGCTTAAATTTCAAAATGGAATACTTAGCTCCTAAAAATTCAAAATGCTTCTCTCAAAATGGACCAAACCATTTGGAGGCCTCCCAGGCCACAGACCCCCGGGCACCGAACGCCAACCGCCACCCATCGCCCCCCCCCGCCGGAAACCCGCGGAAACTTCGCCGGGGCTCCGAGAGGCCGCAGGCCACGGCGAAGGCCAGGCCGGCGCTGGGCTTCAGGTTGAAGAGCCTCGCGCGCGTTTCCGGCGAAGTCGGCGGCTGGGGTACTCGAATTCATCGCTGGGGGGGAAGGGCCCAAACGAAATCAGCCCTGAAAAAAATGCCCTCATCTTCCTGGGTTTTGATTGTGGCTCAAATGGATGTTTCTCAATATGGACCGTTTTGGTTCAGAAAGGCGGCTGCAACTATTTGCGGCAGGGACCGCCCCTTACTGACCTTCACCTACGCGGGTTTTGATGAAGGCTCAAATGGATGTTTCTCAAAATGGACCGTTTTGGTTCAGAAAGGCGGCTGCAACTATTTGCGGCAGGGACCGCCCCTTACTGACCTTCACCTACGCGGGTTTGGATTGTGGCTCAAATGGATGTTTCTCAAAATGGACCGTTTTGGTTCAGAAAGGCGGCTGCAACTATTTGCGGCAGGGACCGCCCCTTACTGACCTTCACCTACGCGGGTTTTGATTGTGGCTCAAATGGATGTTTCTCAAATGGACCGTTTTGGTTCAGAAAGGCGGCTGCAACTACTTGCGGCAGGGACCGCCCCTTACTGACCTTCACCTACGCGGGTTTTGATTGTGGCTCAAATGGATGTTTCTCAATATGGACCGTTTTGGTTCAGAAAGGCGGCTGCAACTATTTGCGGCAGGGACCGCCCCGTACTGACCTTCACCTACGCGGGTTTTGATTGTGGCTCAAATGGATGTTTCTCAAAATGGACCGTTTTGGTTCAGAAAGGCGGCTGCAACTATTTGCGGCAGGGACCGCCCCTTACTGACCTTCACCTACGCGGGTTTTGATGAAGGCTCAAATGGATGTTTCTCAAAATGGACCGTTTTGGTTCAGAAAGGCGGCTGCAACTATTTGCGGCAGGGACCGCCCCTTACTGACCTTCACCTACGCGGGTTTTGATTGTGGCTCAAATGGATGTTTCTCAATATGGACCGTTTTGGTTCAGAAAGGCGGCTGCAACTATTTGCGGCAGGGACCGCCCCTTACTGACCTTCACCTACGCGGGTTTTGATGAAGGCTCAAATGCATGTTTCTCAAAATGGACCGTCTTGGTTCAGAAAGGCGGCTGCAACTATTTGCGGCAGGGACCGCCCCTTACTGACCTTCACCTACGGGTTTTGATGAAGGCTCAAATGGATGTTTCTCAAAATGGACCGTTTGGTTCAGAAAGGCGGCTGCAACTATTTGCGGCAGGGACCGCCTTACTGACCTTCACCTACGCGGGTTTTGATGAAGGCTCAAATGGATGTTTCTCAAAATGGACCGTTTTGGTTCAGAAAGAAAGGCGGCTGCAACTATTTGCGGCAGGGACCGCCCCTTACTGACCTTCACCTACGCGGGTTTTTTGGATGTTTCTCAAAATGGACCGTTTTGGTTCAGAAAGGCGGCTGCAACTATTTGCGGCAGGGGACCTTCACCTACGCGGGTTTTGATTGTGGCTCAAATGGATGTTTCTCAAAATGGACCGTTTTGGTTCAGAAAGGCGGCTGCAACTATTTGCGGCAGGGACCGCCCCTTACTGACCTTCACCTACGCGGGTTTTGATTGTGGCTCAAATGGATGGTTCTCAAAATGGACCGTTTTGGTTCAGAAAGGCGGCTGCAACTATTTGCGGCAGGGACCGCGGCTGCATGGATGGTTCTCAAAATGGACCGTTTTTTCAGAAAGGCGGCTGCAACTATTTGCGGCAGGGACCGCCCCTTACTGACCTTCACCTACGCGGGTTTTGATGAAGGCTCAAATGGATGTTTCTCAAAATGGACCGTTTTGGTTCAGAAAGGCGGCTGCAACTATTTGCGGCAGGGACCGCCTCTTACTGACCTTCACCTACGCGGGTTTTGATGAAGGCTCAAATGCATGTTTCTCAAAATGGACCGTTTTGGTTCAGAAAGGCGGCTGCAACTATTTGCGGCAGGGACCGCCCCTTACTGACCTTCACCTACGCGGGTTTTGATGAAGGCTCAAATGGATGTTTCTCAAAATGGACCGTTTTGGTTCAGAAAGGCGGCTGCAACTATTTGCGGCAGGGACCGCCCCGCCCCTTACTGACCTTCACCTACGCGGGTTTTGATGAAGGCTCAAATGGATGTTTCTCAAAATGGACCGTTTTGGTTCACAAAGGCGGCTGCAACTATTTGCGGCAGGGACCGCCCCTTACTGACCTTCACCTACGCGGGTTTTGATTGTGGCTCAAATGGATGTTTCTCAAAATGGACCCGTTTTCAAATGGATGTTTCTCAAAATGGTGGACCCCCTGTGGTTGGCACTAAACGGAAGTGAAGTCGTGGTCAAATGGAATGCTTGGGATATGGCGGATGACCGAAATACTGCAAGTAGCGGATCAACTAATTTACCATCATCTGGGGAACTCGACTGTGCAGACACACTTGGCATCTTGGCCATTGGGTGCTATCCTCAAGGGGGCTTGGGGGAGGGGGGAGGGAGGGAGCCTAAACCCTTGTTAAGCCCTTATTCAGGGCTTATTTAACATGGTGGAAACCCTTTGTAGTTAAAGGGAAGAAACAAGGATACCAACACATTTTTGGGGAACCGTTGAAGTTTATGGGGTAATCAAATGGAATGCGTGGGATATGATGGAGACCTAAATGTTGCAAGTAGGGAACAAGGAAACCCCCAAATTTACCGAATGTCCATGGTTGAAGCTAATATAATCTAGTTTATAAGGGCAAGGGCTAAACTATTAACCACATGTTGCTCCTATGATCATGACGGAATTGGGCCATTCCAATCATTTGCTCAAGAAAGGCCAGTCCAACAATTTTCTCCAGCTTATCCAAATCCTGAAGTATTTGGATGTATCCCAAAGCATTCCATTTGTTCATTGGTGTTGTGTTTGCGCATTTTGCCTGTTTTGCTTGTCTTGCTTGGAATGTCTGCCAGTCTTTGTCCGTTTTGTTTGATTTGATTGCTGTGCTTGCTCACCAGTCGACTGCCACGCACTCATCCACCTCAACATTATACGTAGAATGGCTGGGTTCTCTGTTGGTCTGGTCTGTATTGCAAATGGCCAAGTTGTAAGCCTTCCATCTTTACAATTACAATTGGGTGCCAGTCTCCACAAGGGATATGGGTGTGTGTGTGTGGGTATGAAAATAGGCCCAATAGCCTCTTTCCCTCCTCCCCCCCAATAGATTGTGGTCGTCCTTTCAAAAACGAGTACCCTCAAAAAGTCACACCCCCATACGGGTCTGTTTTTTGGCGGAACCCCCAGAAAGGTGGTTATCCTTGTGGTTTCCCTTTAAAACCACCAAAAACAGCACCCATACTTCCATTTGGTTAAGGCTCCAGGAAACAATATATATATATATATATATATTTCCAGTATATAGTGATGAATTCCTGTTAAAACCAACAAGGGAAAATAAAAAGAAAAACGTATTCTTAGGCAAATGGAGGCATATGAACGCCCATGGGCTGCTTCTCAACAAGCCAACCGCTGCGCTTGATTCCCGAGATCTCGGCAGCACCAGCAGCTTCATCAGCGACTTCCTGGCGAGGGGAGCCGACCAAGATTTCTTTCACATCACGCCAAAAGACAAATGGCTGTGGGTCAAAATGAAACCACCAGGAATTGGACCGCAGCCTTTAGTCCATGGTTCCTCTTACAAGGCTCTGCGTCTAATTATGCTACAGTTGTCTAGGTCCTCCAGATTTAAAAGGTTCGACTAAGTTGTTTTCTGTTTGGTCTATTTTAGTAGGGGAACCCTCCCCAAAAAAAGGGTAAAAGGGCACAATGGGGGACCTAGTTGAATCAATTTGAGCGCCCAAACCCCAACTTTCGGTTCTACTACGTTGGACTCCCCACGTAACAAACAATTGTCAGATGTCGCCCCCCCACCCTCCCCAAGGATCATACAAACATTGGCCGATCACTTCACTCCTCTTTGGGATGGGAAAGTTTGAAAAACAGGGTGTTTCTTCAAATCCATCGATTCCACTAGTTGAAGGAGTCACAGGTGGCGCAACATCAACGCACAAGCGACGCAGATTTTGTCCAGTTCCCCCATGCCCTCAAACGCAGCGCATACCAGCATGACCCGTTCGCGCGGTTGATTCTCAATTGAACTAACCACATCCAAGTAAGCACTCAAAATACGCTTGGATAAATATTTTCCAGGCGTTCCTGAACTTCTTCCCTTGCAACTAGGGCACCTCCATTTCTCAACTCCTGCGCTTCTCAAGGTGGCTTCCATTGAGTCGAAGATTCGATCTGAAAGGAAGCCAAAGGAAACCCAAAAAAATCACCAATGTTCCGCTCAAAAATAATATCTTCATCGTTGTTCGGAACGACTTTCCTCTTTGCAACCCGGCGGTTTCCTCGTTCGGTTTCGCGGCGTTCCCGCTGCGTCGGTTTTTCACTCAATGCGGCGCGACGCTCAACGCGTCGGCGCGCGCCTGAAGGTGGTGACCTCCTTGATGGAGGCCTTCGGAGTCACGAAGAAGAGCTCCCGCTCGCATTGGTTGGGCACCCCCACCCGGTCCTATGGCCGATTTTTATCCGAAAATGCTTGCGGAAAAACTGGCATGCGAGCGCTCTTAGTTGACTCTTGGCCAACACCAGGCACTGTTTTTTGGATGCTTCCGAAAGGAAAGCGATATGACATCACCGATTGGGGGACATGGCATCAGGCGCTCTAGTTTGGACCCCCGGGTTGGCTGGTTTGTCAACCATCCCCTGGACGGGTCCCCGAATCTCATCACTTTCAACGCCCAAGGTGTGCCCTTTCAAATGGGGTCTATGCTTTTCAATGGTACCCTTGGGAGGGGCAAAGGGACACCAACCTTTCCACTTGTAGCACAATAATAAGTCAAGGGGAGCTCCGAGTGAAACTGTGCGTCTCACGAGAATTTGCCCAATGGGCCAGCATCCCTATCACATTCACAATATACTTGGTTCGATCAAGTTCCACTTTTGAGGTTTGGTTTCATTGTGCAGCAGGGTTGCTGGATCCCTTGAGGTGAAAAATCAACTCAAACCAGGCAATCCCACCCCACAACCCCCCCCCCCTCCAAAAAGAAAAAAGAACAACCCTCATGGCAGAGGGAAGCCAAAAGCCGCTGGCCCCCCCCTGCTCAAGACCTCCCCTCCCGTGATGCCCTTGAAATCAGCAACGCTTACAATCAGCACACGCCCATCGCAGCCGCAGCTCAGCCCCACAAAGCAAACGATATTCTTATCCGCGATGAACTTGAAACATAGCGCGTTTCCGCAGTCAAGTGTTCTGTTTCACGCAAAGAAAGATCAATGAAGGGCTGCAACTTCGATATGTTTCACCCCTCCAAAAGCAATCTGATCCCTTCTGTCACAACCCCCCCTTGGTCGCCGAAAAAGACCAAACACCAACGCCCAAACTTGGGGCTTCCCCCTCCCGCCGAGAGCGCGCCTCCTTGATGCTAAAAGAGGCAAAGTAGTCCTCCGGCCCCTCCTCGACCTCCTGAGATGTGGGTTTCTTAAATGGAAAACCCCAAAAGGCTTGGCTCTTTAAACCAAGAATCATGTTGTTTTCCAAAGGGGTGACACCCCTTCAATCAATCTGTGGCTTTCCCTTCTTGGTGTCCCTTTAAACCAAAAAAACACGGAGCCCGACAAATTGTGAACCTCTCCAAAAGGGGCGACACACCCATATGACAAAATGGGGATTGGGAGCCCAAACCAATCTTTGGCTGGCCTTAAACAAAAAAGAATGGGAGTGCACTTTCAGGCTAAACCAAGTCATGATCCTATGTATCATCTAGGCTGGAATTAGGACCCCAGCAAAAAATATATTTGTTTGCCTGGTTGGTGGAAAACAAAGGGGACCTCAAAAAAGCGAAAAAGGAAAAAGGGGAACTAATTCTGGGGAAGTGATAAGAGAATGACGTGTCGGAATTCTCTAGGCCGCTTCTTCCTTCCCCGCGGCCGGTTTCGCGTGACAGAACCCGCCGCAACCGATCGAGCCGATCGAGCCGATGCCGAGGGGGTGTTCCTGCTCGGCCTCCGCCATGGACACCATGCCCCTGGCGACTTGGAGGTCGCACGAAGTAGCACTCAACTGGACTCAACCGTTGGGTGTTTGTGTTGTTTGCTTTAAAAATGAAGGAAAGAGGATGTGGCCTTTAAAAACACAAGATGGTGTTTGCTTGAAAAGCGCAAAAGTGGTTATAAAGAACCCCGAAGCAAGTTGCGAACCCGAATGAGATGGACGCAAGGGGACTTACGATGATAAGTGGGTTTATCACCATGGTTAGCTCGAAGCCGCTTTCTCGGAAAGAACTATCCAGCTTCCAAGTCACTCGAACACTAAGGATTCATGTTGTCCAAACAACGAGCTTCAGCTGGATCCCAGCCATTGAAAAGGCGAATGGCGAACTGCCACTCCCAACTCTTTTCCGAATATGGCTATGGGTCAAAACACCGTACCCCCAGTGAACATCCCACCCCCCACTAAAATAGGTTCTAAAATGGGTGGTGACCAAAATGGGATCCCATTGGTGTTGACCCACTAAGAGCTGGCTCAATGTCTCAAGCCCTCAGCTCCACAGGTTCCCTCTGAGAAAACCAACTCTATTTGTTTTTTGCGCAGGAATCTAATTGTGTGATTTGATTTGGTGCCCTTGAAAGGCGATTGTAAGAGGAGGGGCTGCACTTTTGTGAGAGAGAGAGAGAGAAGGAAGGAAGGAAGGAAGGAAGGAAGGAAGGAAGGAAGGAAGGAAGGAAGGAAGGAAAGAAAGAAAGAAAGAAAGAAAGAAAGAAAGAAAGACAGAAAGACAGAAAGACAGAAAGACAGAAAGAAAGAAACAGGAGCGACCTGATGCACGCTTTCTTTTGGGGGACCCTTTTTGGGCTGGTGTTTTTCGGGGGAATCAAGGAAATCCACCCATTTTGAAGGGTTCAACCCATTCTAAAGGGGAACAAACAACAAAGGGTGCCACTGGACACTGGACCGCATCCAGTGTTTTCCTGGCTCCCAATGCCATGAAAAGGGTCCAAAACACCACAAATCTGGGTGAATCATTCGCATTCACCAGCCTATCATGAAAATCGACTCGGAAGGAACCCTCTGTGAAACAGTAGCAAACTCAATCTCCTTGTGAAATCGATCCCGCAAAACCCACCAGTCTGCACGATACCCGATTTGGGTGTGGGTCAACATTAAGCCACCAGGAGACCGCTGGTTTTAGTCTTTGGTTCCATTTACCAGGGTTCCATTTTGGATACCTATTTTTGACCCACAGCCATTTGACGGTGGTACACCACCTACCAGCAGCCGGATTTCACCATCAGCACGTCAACCGCATCGGAAACCTCCGATCTGCCTCTCCCAGTCACCATCCTCCGCTGCCGCTTGCAGCACCTCGCAGCCATCAGTTTATTGAAAAAATTGCGTTGGGTCTGCAACAGCCACCCTTGGTAAGACCCAAAAAAGGACCCTTCCAAAAGAGGGGGTCATCACCATGCGGGCATCACACCTTCCTTTCCTCAAAGGGAGAGACCCTGGACAAACCAAACAAAAGCGAGCGTAGGCATAATTCAACATGTCCTGTCAGCTTCCCGAAAGCCCACCAAAAGAAGGAACCACGCGCACACGCTCAAAAGTTCGACATGGGCGAGTCTGCCTTGTGAATGGCAAACCTGCGAATCCAAGGGAAGGAGCCAAGTTCCACAAGAAGCGGGAAGCCAAATCAGACTTGCGCATACTGTGGATGGACGAAATCCACTTCGCACCAGTTTGAAACCATGGGAAACCAATGTTTGTTGGTATTTACAGGCAAATCATCCTTCCAAAGTTTTCCAGGTTGTGCGAAATGGATTTCGTCCATGCACAGTAGCTCCCCTTGTGGACTTCAGGCAGGACTACGTTCCGTGGCCATTGTGCGGGTGCTTCTCTGGTCGTGGCATATCTTTTTACAAACAAAAAGAAAACAGAAATGCAGAATAAGAGTAAAGAGGACATATCTGTGTAGGTGCTTTACTTGGGGATCCGCTTTTTTCATTGTTTGGCATTCTGGTATGCAGATGTTCGGAGGGTGCAGGATGTGGGTCGCAGGGTAGGAATGAAGGGCGGGGGTTATTTCTGAAAATGGGGAATGCTAGGATGTCTGATGGATCGGGGATTCGACTGCAGAGGAAAATGCATGAGAGTCAGTGATGCATGCAACGCTGGAAAGGGAGCTGGAGTGCTGGGCATCTTGGGGATACTGGAGATGCTGGGGATGCTAAAAATGCTGGGATGTTTGTGATTGCTGGGGATGCTGCTGATGCTGGTGATGCAAAGGATGCTGAGGTTGAGATATGTCAAACTGAACGTGGGCAATGCTGCAAATGGGGATGGGAATGCGGAGGATGTATGATGGTAGAAGCAAAGCCAGGGATGCATGAAACACTGGAAGGGGAAATGCTGGGGATGTGTGGGGGGCTGGAGTGCAGGGCATGTTGGGGATACTGGAGATACTGGGGATGCTAAACATGTTGGGATGTTTGTGAACGTTGGGGATGCTGGTGATGCTGGTGATGCGGAGGATGTTGCAGGTTCTTTGAAAAGGTTGAGCTTTATGTTGATTTTGCAGGGGGCACGCCTCATTCACGTGAAAGGAAGCAAGCAAGCAAACATCATGAGGTCGCAAAGCAAATCCCGGCAAGTCGCTGCAAGTCGCATAGATGCATCCAATCCAATGCTGAGCAAAACAGTTCGCTTGTTTGTTTCACCTTGGCGTTTTGGCTGAGTGGTGGCTGGTTTGCGGCCAATACCCCGGCAAACACGCAGCCTCTAAATGAATACATTGATATGTGGGTGTATGTCTGCCGCTTTGGACAAGTGGACCAACGGCAAATTGGAGGTTAGCCAATCTGAACTCCCACAAACGAGTACCTAGGAGACATCTTTGAAAACAATCAGAGGCACGTTGATACTCCGATCCTTTGCGTAGCCATGGATTCCATCAACTAAATGACCCCTTGCCTAGATTTCATATGAGCAAAAGTCCAAATTAAGCGTCCTTTTCTGCCAGGGGCATGACCTTGCTCCTCACCAAATCGAAAGCGAGGCTGACCCCACCAACACACATGGAAGTGCACAGGCCCCTTGCAAAGGACAGTAGTCTTCCAAAGAAAGCTCTGCAACTCCATGCCGCTGGGCGAATCTATATAGACTCTCGCATCTATTGGCAGCACCTGGGTTTGTGTCCCCAAAAAAGGGGAGTCGCCAAACTGGGTGCCCCAGTTCAGCAGAATTGAGACATGATAGAACGTGAGAAGTTCTCCTACTCTCGGGGAGCAAACACAGTCATATGTGTCCTTTTTGAAGAAATAGATGGCCCTGGTAGATGCTTGAACTACCAGGTGAACCAGGAATCGCCCTCTATTTTTCAACCAAACCAAACCAAAAAGGACACCTATGAACACAGCGTGTGGCTTCCTTTTCTGGGCCCTCAGATCTCCTACTGAAAGTTTGTTTTTTCCATTTTTGGGGTTAAATGGAAATCACCACTAAACCGTAAACCCACAAAAAGGCTAAGGAGCCAAGGAACCGGATGGCTGGGAGCCAAGTCTTGGTTTCACCGAAGACCTCCAGCTCTCTCCGCTCCGATGCCTCGCGGGTGATGCGGTCCAGGGAGATCTGAGCTGGCGTCTGGCCTGGTGTTCTGGCCGCGGCCTTTTCGGGGGCGGCGGGGGGGGGGGGGGGGAACCTTTGTGGTGGTTTTGGGAGACCCTGAAAATCAGGGGGGGTTGTGTTTGGGGGACGCAAAGAGAGCCACGTTTTGTTCTGCATTCCCGTTTTGAACACATTGTGTACAACCTGTTGGCCCGCGGAGTGAGCCCTCGGACCTCCAGAAAGGCTTTCGGAAGAGGATTGGGGTCCTTTCTTTGACGAGGTCTCGTCACGGCAAGTGAAAGAAAAGGCGGAACAGGAACACCAAAAGTTCCTTTCCAAACAAAAGGTTCGTGATCTACTGTGTTTCTGTGTGTGTTTCCTCTAAAGCCGATGTGTTCTTTTCTTTCAGGCCACCCGCTCAGATCCGACGGGGAACCAACGGTTTAAAGTTAGAGCTTTGCAATACCTGGGAATGTGTCAGAGTATCATGTACAGAAATCCTAAGGGGGCCAAGCGAAGGTTCCCACATTCGACGGCCATGTGCAGTGAATGCCGCTGAAGAGCCGCTTTGCTCCCAGGCCGTACAGAATGCTTCTCGGACCAGCAGCCCCATGAGGACATGTGCAAGAGTATCCCTCGGTTCCGTGAAATTCTAGCCAAAACCCTATGGAGTAGAAGCATGAAGCCATCAAGTCATACAATGTCGCCTTTAAGCCCAGAAACCATGACTTGTCCACCACCAAATGTCGAATAGGTACCAGATCCTTCCTTCCCCACTGCCGGGCTTCTGCCACTTGGCGTCCCCGGCCCGCGGCGTTGCGGCGGTGCGGGCTCGCTCGCGCCTGTCGCAGCCCCTTTTCAAGGGGCGAACAAAGGAAACGACCCGAAGCTTTCGAAGCGAAGGCCATGTTAACTCGGATGCGTCCCATCAGACAGGCACCCGAAAGAAAGCAACATGCATCCCTTGGATTTGATAGGACATCAACCACGTTGCCTCAGTCTATTCCCCCATGGGCGTTACGAGGTGCTCGCAACCAAAAGGGGACACATTTGGCATGTGCTACCCTAGAAACATTGGGGTGCTCTTTTAGGGGGGGTGGGGGGTGGGGGGTGGGGTGATCCCAAAGTTCATTATATAACTGCAAAAAAGAATACATAAATACATAAATAAATAAATAATTAAATAAATAAATAAATAAATAGGGGAAAAAAGAAAAACAATGACAAACAAGAAAATAATAAAAACATGAAAATAGATAGCAGATGTGTATATATATAAATGTATTTGAATAAGATAGTTTTGAAGGAGACCCCACAAACAAACAAAAAAAAACAGTACGGTCGGCGCGTCACCGCGTCGCCTGCAGAAGGTGCCGTACGGCCTCCGAGCGACCCATGTGCCCCGCGATGTGCAGGGGCGTCCAGCCTCAGAACCAGAGCTCGCCTGAGGTTTCCCCCACCTAAGGAACACTCACTTGGCTGATGGGTCAGAAATTGGTACCCAAAATGAAACCCTGGAAAATGGAACCAAGGACTAAAACCTGCGGTCCTCTGGTGGTTCCATTTTGACCCATACCCACTTAGCTCTGAAGTTTGATGAGGACCTCGCAAATGGTCGGTGGACATAAAATCCCACCTTATGTTCCGCCTGCATCATCTTATGTTTCCGCCTACACCCCACTGGAGGGAAACTCGCCTTACAGCCCAAAAGGAGATGCCAAAAATGGACATATAGGGTTTTCTGAGAAAGTGGAGCACACGGGAGACACGGGGCGTGGGGGGGGCGTGGGGCGTCGTGCTTGCCGACAATATCCCCTGTAAGGACCTCAATACAAAGCATGCTCCTGCTACTCGTGCAAGCTTGTTGCAACATGTCCAATACACAATAGCATCAACTGTCAACTTGTCCTTTTAGCTTACCTTTCCATTCATCCTTCACCCAAACACTTTGTGTTATGGCGGGCATGTCATCTGGTTCTAAGTCTTGCAAGTGAACCAACCACGTCCAACCACAAACCCTGGTAAACTGCCTCTATCACAACTGGGCTGTCCTCAGATCCGCCGCTAAAAGCTTAACTTTTAGTGGGTTAAATGGAAATCCCCACTAAACACGAAAAGGCTAAAAAGCTAAGGGGATGGCTGGGAACCACCAAGACAAGTCCCTTGTTCCCCCAATATTTTGGGGCATCCGTACCCACACCCAGCTCCCTCGGCCCGCCGGCCGGCGATGTCTACCGCCTCAAGGAGCTGCGCAAACTTCAGCACCTGGCGGGTGGGCAGAACCGCAAGCGGTCCGACGGTCCGCTTGCGGAAACCAAGTAGCTTTGCCCAACCTGGGAGGATTGCGGAAGCAAAGCGACTCCAGCAAAACCGGACATACCGTACTCACTAGAATGGGGTGGTGACAAAACCAAATTGCGGCCATATCAGAAGAACATGTGAAACTTGTTCGCCCCTTACTGTATAATGGCCAAAAGCAGGCATCGAGCAGAACAAACTCAAACTCCAGTTCGCCTGCGGGAATCAGCTGCAAAAGTTGTGCGTCGGTTCCTTTGGGGTTGCTTTTTGTTGGGAACCCAACGCGCCGCCATTGATGGTCAGGACTTTTTCCCATAGGGCGACCCTTTACTTTGACGCTGCCCTAGTGAGCCAGAAAAAAATAAGTCATAAGGGGTCAAGACTAAAACTCAGACTTCTGCTGACAAAACTCCACAGAGCTTGAAAGTTCAATACTCATTTTCCAACTCTCCCACGCCTCGGCAGCGCTCACCAGGTGTCCCTTTCAACTCCAACCAAGGCGAGGCCATAGTCTCCCTTCCTGAGTGGATTGTCCCCCACTCCCAAAAAGTATAAAGTCCAGGAACTCAGGACATACTGTGGATGGACGAAATCCGTTCGCACCACTTTGAAACCACGGGAAACCATTGTTGGTTGGCATTTGTAGGGGAATCATCAGTAGGAAACTGGCTCCTCTGAAAACACGACGGTTTACCTACTGGATGGTCTCCGCTTCATTCTTATCCACAGTAAGACCCCCATAGGTTTCAGCTTCCTCCGGCTTTGCGAAGCGAAGTTCGAAGTTCGAAGCGGCGCCTCACACACCAGCGGCAGGGACCCTGATCTGCAAGCCACATGCAGCGCCGTGGTGCCTCAAAGCAACAGCCAAAAGCGGGCTGTCAAAACCAGAGGGGGGGGGGTTCAAGTTCTCAACATGGCGCGGTTCCCCCGTTTTGGGGCGCTGAAAGTGAGGGCCAACACAAAACAACCTATTTTGGGGGAGTCCTGACCTGAGAGGTTTTCACCCATGGAGATTTGGGCCCTCGGCATGAGCTTCGGCTGTCCTTTTCCCTTGAACACCAAGCCATGAATTCTTCAGATTTGTGGATGCTAAAGCGAGTCCGAGCTTCTGTTTGAAGCCACAACCACAAGGGCATGCATATGTCTGTTGTCCGTTTTTCCAAAAATGACGTACTGGACCCTCAGTTGTGTAAATTGTTGTGTGGTTGTGGCATAGTTGTCTAATGCTTGCTTTTGCCACGCGATCCAAAACAGGGCAACCACAACAAATGCCTCTCAGCATCCCTCCCCTTTTGTTACCAGCCCACTAACACTCAGCTATGGCTTGGCAAGAGGTCCCCAAAGCACGCATCCGTGGGCCAATTGAGCTGGCACTTAAGTTGGCCAGCACATGCCTTGGTTGCTGTTGACCCCTCTGCAAAAAGTTTCACTAAAGTTTCACTTGTGCCCAAAGATCCAAATAGCCTCAAAGATGCGGCTGGGCGTGCTCTGTTTTGGCCCTTGGTTCTGAAAAATAAGAGCCAGCTGACAAGGCCGCGGCACCACCACCCATGTCAAGCCCAGAGTGTCGGCCAATGCGGACAACTTAGCCACCCCTTTGCAATCTCCAGTAAGGTTATTAAGCGACTTGCCTCTTGGCTATCACTTCGAATTTCGAATGCCTGGGATCAAACGCCACATTTCTCCTGCTGGTATCAACTACGTATGAGCCGCAGACCACATCACTGACGATTGGTTCGCTTGGGTAGGCCACTTGTTGAGGAAATATGTTTTTTTTTTTATTATTATTATTTTTTTTCCGGCACGCCTTAGGCCAGTAAACATACTCTTCCAGGGGAATTTGAGCGCCCGAACCCCTTGCCTTTGGGTTCGACTTGAGCTTTGCTATCACCCCAACTGAACCAAGTAGAACCCACCTGTATTCTATCTGTCCAGTGTTTGTGGATAGGAGTCCAGGGAGAAACCAAGTACTAAGTAGTAGAACCACCTACTAAGCCAGTAGGAATCGGTGTTGGCCCCTTTCATTGCCGAGGCTCCGTTGGCATCGTGCACATCTGGCGAGGCGCCATGGTACACTAACCACCTGCGATCCGCGCAAAGGTAAACCGCAACTCAGCGATGTTGGGAATGTGGGTTCGAAGGGCTCGGGTTTAATTCCCATCGCTCAGAACAAGCAAGATGAACCCCACCTGGGTGTCCCAAAAAGAGACCCCATGGTGAAAGCCTCGCCTAAAAATGGTGACCCTGCGCGTCAATGCGCGCCGTCTGTGTTCCTTGCGGCCCGTCAAAGCTCGTGGAACCACAAAGGGCATCACGTTACACAAGGCTGTCCGTTGCAAGGGCTGAGTCTTGACTGTCAGCAAATGCAGGCCAAGACGTCATATTGAACCGCAAACTGCAAACAGTTGCTCACTTCCTGAGCGGATTGACCAAGAAAAGTCCAAACTTTATGTTTGCCACCAAACTGGTCCCAAAAAGTGACTAAAGTTCCAAACAGAACTCGGGGTGAGAAGAAAACAAATCCCGGCGCTTCTTTCCGGCTTGCCTCACGGCCACGAGGCAGGAGGTCGCGGCAAACTGCAGGAGGTTTCGATCGGCGCCTGGGTCTCTCGGTTCGATAGGCAGGGAAAGAGAAATGGAATGACCCCGAAGTAAACTATCCAACTGGTGGTTTCCTAGGGGATCTCCAGATTCATTCCCTCATTCCCTGAGCACCAGTGAAAACCATATTAACAAAGGTGGTATGGAACATCACGGAGAATTTGAGATCTCTGGTTGGGACCTCAAACGGTTGCCATGGGTTTTCCTCAGACAGGGCCAGAATGGTTGGTTCTATCTACGGGTTTCCCTGATACCGACCAAGGAGGGCCACTTTGAGACAAACACACATAGGACCTCCGATTCTTTTTGGGCCCAAAGCCCGATTCGCTTACGCCAAGGAGGGCCCAAGGGCCCAAGGGCCCAAGGGCGTGGGACTGAAGGAAACCAGGAACCAAGGCTTGGCAAGTTGCTTGTCTCACCGAACCAGTGGATTGGCCCAACCACAAAAGTCGAAAAACTGTCTAGCATGGTCTTCCCAAAAAGTGCCTAAAGTCCAGGAACTCAGAAAGTGGGCTTTGGTCATTTGGACTTCGAGGTCTAATGTTGAGCATCCGATTGGTCAAGTCAAGACAACAAAAAGCCAAGCACGGCGGATTCCTCAAAAACGTCGTCTCCTTTTTCAGAGTGCGCTTTGTGGCTTTTGTTTAACCCGAAACGGGGTTCCCAAATCAGTCACAACCCCATCTGGCTCGCTTGGATCAGCTAATGTTCCTAGGGTTCGAGTGTGTGGAATAAATTCTCAAATCCGTGCTGGAGAAGTGACCCCAAAGCAGTAAAGCCAAAAACGTGAGCCGGAAACATTCATGTGGATGTGTCAAACTGGCCGCTTTTTCTCTGCTGATTGGCCTGCAAGAAGGAAAGCCACGGACTCCATCATTTGAGTCATAGTCAAAACCCACTACAAAAATGGTCTACCCAGAACCATGCTTCAAGAATTAAGAAGGCGGATCTCCGCCATTTCTGGTTAAAATCGTCCCTTGCTAACCAACAAATCTACCCGGGTTTTGAGTGTGACTCAGTTAGGCTCAAAAACATCGGACCGCAGATGCTTTGCCTTTGGTTTCCATCGGTCTGACGAAGCTCAGCTCCCCAGCGGTTGAGACCCCGCAAGGTCTCCTCGACTCGGGCATGCCAAACGGCACAGCCCTTCAGCCGTTTGGGGAATGATTGGGTTTGAGACCACTATCTTTTGCCAGACTCTGCAAAGATGGAAGGTCGCGGACCTGGCAAATGAATGAAAATGAAGAAAACTATCCAAACCAGTGCCATCTTGCTTTCAACATACTATCCCGAAAAGAAGACCTACTGTGGATGGACGAAATCCGGCATGGGATGGATGAAATCCTGTAAATAGTGGGATAAACCTCCTACCAACCGCAGGATTTCATCCATCCACTGCGTC